GCTCCGGGCTCCGGTGCCGCCTCGGGGGGATTCTAAAGCATCCCCAGCTCCGAGCACCTCCTGCGGCCGGCACGGCCCGCGGCGGCCCGGCTGAGCTCCCCGAACCCCGCCGAGCGCCCGACTCGAGGTAGAACTGAAAGGGAACTTACTGCGCTCAGCCGGGTCTTATTCTGCTCCCCGCGCCGGGCACCAGCAGGGCTCTGCCAACTGACAGGCAGCTTAAATATTGCCAGAGAATCGGGGTTTGCCAGCGGAGCTGTTAACAGGGTCACAAGGGATGAGAAGGAATATTTATAGTCAAAGTTAAACTAATTGACCGAAGTTACTCTTTTGGTCTCCCGTGGCTCTGGTGAGAAGTGCATTATTTTCACTATCAGGGCTCCCGGGTCAAACTCCACGGAGTGCCATTCTCTTAAGCAATCTGTGCTCTATGCGAGGCACACAGAACAATAAAAAATCGGGGCTGATGTCCTCTGGAGCTGACAGCCCGTGGCACAGGGAGGAGCTGACAGCCTGTCCTGTGTCCGTGTTTGTGCCTGAGCCTCACAGGGCTCCGGCCGTGGGCTGGGGTTTGTAGCACTCTGCTGAGGCTGGAGGTTAATCCAGAGCCGAGTCCCTCTCTGGCAACAGGCTGGAGGTTTGTCCTCAGCATCATCTGCCTGAAATCCCTGACAAACCATCAGGGCCAAAACACACACAGAGTGATGCTGAGAGGGACCTCACAGCACAGTGACTGTGGCAGGAGCAGCTCATAAATCCCAGAATTGGAGTGCCCAGACCCCAGCAGCACTGCTGAGCAGCCCCTTGCTGGGCAGGTGACCCACGAGCCTGCAGGGTGGATGGAGAATGGGCACTGAGCCCTCACAAGCCCAATCCTTGTCCCAGCCTTGAAGTTACCAGCAGGGATTTCCCTGCAGGTGACCCACTGAGGGCATTGGAACCTGCCAGGGGCAGGGTTAGCTGGGATATTGGGGATAAACTCTTCCCTGTGAGGGTGGGGAGGCCCTGGCACAGGAGAAACTGTGGCTGCTCCATCCCTGGGAATGTGCAAGGCCAGGTTGGACAGGGCTTGGAGCAGCCTGGGACAGGGGAAGGTGTCCCTGCACTTGATGATTCCATATAATTCCATGGCTGTATTTTATCTCATTGTTTCCCAGTCACAGCTCTGATAAGCACAACTGTAGCTCTTTCAGTCTTGCAATTGGAGAGGCATTCATTTGATTTGCTATGATTTGGAAACCCTAAGTTTTCCTGAAGATGGATCCTCAAGGGCTGAAAACGCAGCACCGGGTGTCCTGTGCTGCCTCCCAGTCTGTGCCACCTTTCCCCCTGACTTACCACCCTGCCAGCCTGAAGCTGAGCTCCTTCTCTGTCCCTTGGCATCTTTCATGGCACCTGCAGAGCAATTACAGATCGTGGCCCCTCAAGCCACAGTCGAGGTACTTATAGGGAGGTTCCCAGGTGGTTCCACTTTGCCCGGCACAAATGTGCCCAGCTGTGACCCACCCTGGCTGTGCTCAAGCTGCTCATTTCCTCCCTGAGCTCTTTCCCCCTCTGTTTCTTGCATGAAAGAACGAAATCCCCAAATCCCCTGAGGTTTGGAATGGCAGCTGGGATTTCCAGGGACACAATTTCCCAGCATTTGTCAGGGGATGGAAGTGGCACCCGAGGAGCAGGAGCAGCCAGGGCTGTGATCCCTGTCCTGCCCTGCCCTGCCCTGGCTGCTGCCCGGGCTGGGGTTTCCTTCCCAGGGCCAGGCTTTCCTGTGAGGATGATCCCATGGCCAGGGCTGACCCAGGAACCCTGAGTGAGGCTCAAAGGAGCTGGATCTGGGCAGGAATGACCTCGTGGCTGCAGAAAAGTTACCAGAGCCAGGAGAGGGGGGAGTGCAGGGAATGGTGTGGGTGCTGTGTGGGACATGGGGATGGGGCCCTGGGACTCCATTCCTGCTGCTTTATGAGCTCAGCCTGGGACATCATTCCTGCCGCTTTATGGGCTCAGGAATGGGGCCCTGGGACACCATTCCTGTTGGTTTATGGGCTCAGGAATGGGGACGTGGGGAATGAGGGCTCTTGGACACCATTCCTGCTGCTTTATGGGCTCAGCCTGGGACGTGGGGAATGGGGCTGTGGGCATTTTTCCTGCTGGTTTATGGGTTCAGGAACAGGGCTCTGGGCATTGTTCCTGCTGGTTTATGGGGCTCTGGGCATTATTCCTGCTGCTCTATGGGCTCAGGAATGGGGCTGTGGGACACCATCCCTGCCGCTCCATGGGCTCAGCCCAGCACCGCAGCTGTGGCAGCGGCTCTGGGCCGGTCCCTGGGGGCAGGAGGAGTCAGTCGGAGCGCTTCAAGTGGAATCTCAGGGTGGCTCGGGTTGCTCGGGCCCCTCGGGTCAGCAGCTCCACCCTGCCCGCTCCCCGGAGCGCATCTCCGGTGCCGCGGTGTCGGTGAGTGCCCCAGGGCAGGAGGTGACGTGCCCGGCCGGGGACACTGAGGGTGGCTCTGCACGGAGCTGCTCCGGCCCCGGGCGGCTCCCAGGGCTGCTCTGAACCGGCTGAGGCTCAGCGCCTGATGGGGAGCTGCTCCTGTCCGTCTGCTCCCGGTGTCACGGGAGATAAACCCCCCTGGACATGAACTCGGCCTCAGCCAAGAATTCTTTTCCAGAGGGAAACAATTCACTGCCTCATACAGCTCGCTAAATGTTTTCTTCTGAAGGCTGCAGTTAGAAATCCGTGCTATTTTAAGAATTTGCTGCTCGTTTTGATCCCTCCAGCCTGGACGCTGTGGGGCTGGAAGGGCCTTCTCCCCACCAGCCCAGCCAGGTGAGAGCCTGCAGGTGTCAGAGCCAGGATCAACAGTGCAGAAGGTGCAGAATCCCTGACACCATCACCAGCAGCAATTCTGGACAGAAGACAGAGGTCTGTGCAGTCAGGAGGCAGAAGGCAGTAGCTTTATTTCAGGGATAGCACATAGGCATTGGGTAGAGACTGAACTGGGAATATACATCGTCCCCTTATCAAATCTTATCGCCAGAAGTTCTGGTTCTTTGAAAATATTCACATAAAAATACCAAAGGGATTGGAGTCCTAACTATTTCAGAAAGTTACAACATGTAGCAAAATCTATGTACAGCATCTTCTGTCGGGACAGTTTCAAAAGAACCTCTGGTGGTTTAAATATTGGACATGTTTTTTAGAAAAAAGGAAAAAAACTCAACGGAACGCAGTGTGCAACATCCAAAAGGGAAACAGGAGCAGAGGGAGCGTGGCCCTGTCCTGGACCTCTGGGAACACGAGGCTGTCCACTACCTGGCACTTAAAGCTGTATAAACGGAGAACACTTGTGAAAATATACCTCACTTTCTACAGCGGGGTTTAAAAAAATACCAAAACCCGGAGATCCGAGGGTCGTAAGGTCTCCCGGAAATAACGAAATAATGCACCGGTCGGTGATGGTGCCCCGGAGCGGCGGCGGCTGCGGGACACGGAGCCCTTGCTCCGGCCTCGGGCAGGCGGGACCTACACGGCGCTGGCTGCGGGGACACGGGGACAGGGGGACACGGGGACAGGGGGACACAGGGACACGGGTGGGTTTTGCACGGAGGGGATGCTCACAAAGCACGGAGAGAGCTCGGGAGCCCCCGCAGGCGCAAGCAGTGGCCGTGGAACGCTGTCCCTCCGTGCCGGGGGCACAACGGGGGGATCCAGGAGGGTCCGGGCAGCTGGGAGAGGGATGGGCACGGTGAGAGGTGGGTGTGCACGGTGAGAGATGGGTGTGCACACTGGGATGTTGGTGTGCACGGTGAGAGATGGGTGTGCACACTGGGATGTTAGTGTGCACGGTGAGAGATGGGTGTGCACACTGGGATGTTGGTGTGCACGGTGAGAGATGGGTGTGCACACTGGGATGTTGGTGTGCGCATCTGGAGGTGGGTGTGCACATCTGGAGGGGGGTGTGCACATCTGGAGGGGGGGTGTGCACATCTGGAAGGTGGCCATGGACACTCCTGGAGCTCCCTGGGATATCCCCCATGAAACCTGCTCCTGCAGCGAAGGGGCTCCCAGGATTGTGGAACCATTCATGTTGGGAGAGCCCTCCCAGGCCATCCAGTGCAGCTGCTCCCCCTGCTCGGCCAAAGCCACCCCTCACCCCAGCACTGTGCCCGGGTGCCACATGCACAGACAGACAGACTGACAGCTGTTGTATCAGCTTTTGCGCCCTGCTCCCCCCTGCCCCTGCCGTGCCCGGAGCAGCACCTGGCGCTGCAGAGCCCTCCTGCCCTGTTCAGGCTCCCGGGCATTCTGTGCTTTCCAAGAGCCATGGAACTGCTCAGGGCTGCCTGCTGGCGAGTTCCAACAACCTCGTGCTGACGGTGTTGCTCTCTTGGGAGGGTTTCAAGGCCTGTCAGCCTCTGGCACAGCTTTGTGCAGAGCCGAGGGCCAGGAAGGAGCCGTGAGCTGGAAGGATCAGACCCGATCCATCCTGGGGACCTCGGGGATGTGCCAGGAGGGTCCTGCAGGGTCCTGCTGCTCTCCACTGCCACTGGCTGCCAGGGGAGGGGGCTGGAGCTTCTGGGCCACCTCCGGCGCTCTCTGCTCTGCTGTTCCCCCCTGTGCTCAGCCCCGGGGCAGAGGCGCTTGGAGAGGGGCTGGACAGGGCTCAGCAGCATCCCCAGAGGAGCTGGGGGTGCCCTCCCTGCTGCTCATCCCCCTGCTCCCTTCCCTGCTGGGCTGTCCGGGGGCTCTGTGGCTCTCCCCCAGCCCAGGGCTGAGCCCCCAGGCTCAGGCAGTGCCCATGGAGGTGTGGGGAAGGTCTCCAGTCACAGGAGCAGTCACAGGAGTTTGGGGAACGTGGTTCAGTGGGATTTTACCAGATGGACACAAACCCCGGGCTCAGGGATCTATGGAGGTGGAGGGTGCTGAGGAAGCTCTGTGAGGACCAGCGCAGGGTTTGTCTTTGTGTCACCCTCTGTCACCCTGTGTCACCTGTGGTGCCTCCTCAGTGCCTGCCCCGGCCCCTCTGTCGGTGACCCTGCTGGCTGGGAGCAGGAGGCAGCAGCGTATTTACACCACGCTGGACAGGAGCAAATTGCACTTTGTTGGCAAGGAGCTGTTGCACCTCAGGTGGCTGCAGGCGGTCACCAGGCCAGGGGAGAGGTCATCCTGGGGCTGCGCTGGCTCTCGCCCACCTGCACGTCACTGAGAGCCCGCTGTGGGACACAAAGGGCACAGCTCAGGGGGGCAGGGTGGGCAGGCCCTGGCACGGGTGCCCAGAGCAGCTGTGGCTGCCCCTGCATCCCTGGCAGTGCCCCAGGCCAGGCTGGACAGGCCTGGGAGCAGCCTGGGATGGTGAGAGGTGTCCCTGCCATGGGAACATGGGGTGATCTTTAGGGTTCCTTCCACCCCAAACCATTCCAGCATGAACAATCACATCACTCTCCCCTGGGGCTTGGGCCCTCCCTCAGTGTCCCACCCTGGCCAGCTGATTTGTGTGTCAGAAAAACTGCATCTTATCAGCATCAGAAAAATCCCTCTAACTCGGGCGCAGCTGCTCACAAAAGCCCATCCCGGTCACACACAATAACACCTCAGTGACACCCACAGGACATCCCTGCTGCCTTGGAAAGCTTCAACTCACCTCAAACTTGCTCATGAATTCTGCAAAAATGCCAAAGAAGGCTTCGGAGGTTGTCATTTTTGAGTCCTCCCCGAAGAAGGACAGCACCTTGCTGAACTCCTCCATGGCCTTGTGCTGCAGGTCGTCCAGGGAGCGCATGGCGGGCTGGGCACTCTCCAGGAAGGACTGCAGGGCTTGGCTTAAGGGCAAAGAGCTGCTCCACGGCGCTGGCAGGGGTCCCAGCCCCTTATCAGATAGCTGAGTCCCATCCCCCCTTGTCAATCTCTTACCAGATAGCTGGGTCCCAACCCCTTATCAATCTCCTATCAGACAGCTGGGTCCCAGCCCTTATCAATCTCTTATCAGACAGCTGGGTCCCATCCCCCCTTATCAATCTCTTATCACATGGCAGCAGGCAGATGCTGACAGGCACACGTGGAGGCGCTGGCTGTCCCTGTCAGCACAGCTCCCAAGGACAGATGTCCCAGCACGTTCCTGGGGCTGTGCCACACGGGGACACCCCAAACCTGCTCTCCAGGCTGGCTGAGAGAGGGGACAGCTCCCAGCAGCGCCAGGCACAGCCCCAGGCAGGGCTGGGGTCCCTGGGGGCACCAGGCAGGGTTGGGGTCCCTGGGGGCACTCAGGGCCGGCTCCCCCCTCACAGAAGGATACGGTCATGACAATGGCAAACCTGTCCTCGGCGGTGGCGGGCATGCTGTGACACGCCTTCTGGATGTCACTGACCGTGCTGTGCAGGTCCTTCAGGTCGGCTGTCAGGGTCCTCTGGTTCACTGCAGGGGACAGCGGGGTCAGCAGGGCTGGGACACGCAGGGTGGGACACGCAGGGTGGGACACGCAGGGCTGGCTCTGCTCCCACAGGTGAGGTGAGGAGCATGGGCCAGGGGACAGTTGTCACCCTGATTTTTTAAGTTTTTCTAAGCCTGGTGATGTTGACATTCTTGTAAGGGACTTTCTCGCACGCTTTGTGTAAACAACTCATTGTTTTGCATTGTTTTGTGGAGGAGGAGTGTCGCAGACATCTTTTATGGAAAATCCTTTCCTTAGGATTTTTCCTCCTGAGAAGCTGGGAGGCCTCAGGAACAAAATGTAAACAATGGTTATCTGCTGCTGTGCAATGCAACAGGTGCATCTGTGATTGGTCTCATGTGGTTGTTTGTAATTAATGGTCAATCACAGCCAGCTTTGATAACCTTTGTTATCATTCCTTCCTATTCTATTCTTAGCCAACCTTCTGACAAAATCCTTTCTTCTATTCTTTTAGTATAGTTTTAATGTAATATATATCATAAAATAATAAATCAGCCTTCTGACACATGGAGTCAGATCCTCATCTCTTCCCTCATTCTCAGACCCCTGTGAACACGGTCACAGAGGAGGAATTTGATGGACTGTTGGTTTGTCCAGTGTCATTGGGGAGGTGGCACTGTCACCCTCCAACCCACTGTCACTCTAGGAAAACGATAAATGTTTGAGTCAGAAATTAAATGTTCCCTTTTTTCACCTTGAGAGCAGCAGTGTGCACTCGTGTTCTTTTGTGTCCTGTAGTGACAGTCAGTCTGTCTGTCCACACTGCTCTCTGCCCATGTCCTGCTGCCCAGGCTGGGTGGACAGACAGACAGACAGTCCTGCTGGGACCAGAAGGTCACCAGGAGCTCTTGGTGCTCACACCCAGAGCAGCCAGGAGAGCCCAGACATGGCAAGGAGCACGCAGGGCTGGTGGTGATGGACACCCAGGAGGGACACAGGACACCAGGACAGGGGGACACAGTGCCAGGAGTTTGGGCAGCTGGGAGCCTCCAGTGATGGAAGGGTTATTTGAGAGTTAGGCTAGATACAAATTCCAGCTGGGAAAGCTCCAGGTACAGACCTTCCCCCAGTGGAAATTCACAGCTCCAGGCTGGAGTTTGCTCCTTTATTTGTGCACTGTAGCACTAATTCCCAAGGGAATTGCTCACAAACAGCAGGGGATGCTGTGCAAGGGGAATCCAGCTCGTGCTTGGTAGGGATCCAATGCATCATTTAAAATCACAGATTGTGGAATCATTTAGGTTGGGGAAGCCCTCCAGGGTCATCCAGTCCAGCTGTTTCCCCAGCTCTGCCAAAGCCACCACTGACCCAAGCATTGTCCCCAAGTGCCACGTCCACAGGGCTGCTAAATCCCCTCAGGGATGGGGACCCCTGCCCTGGGCAGCTGTGCCAGGGCTGGGCAGCACTTTCGGGAAGGAATTTTCCCTAAAATCCCACCCTGAGCCGCCCTGGCCCAGCCTGAGGCCGTTCCCTGTGCTCCTGTCCCTGTTCCCTGGAGCAGAGCTTTGCCCAGGGGCAGCAGTGTGGGGTGGGTGGGTGACACCTCACTGTCACTGTCACTGTCACTGTCAGCTCAGCCCTTCCCAAGGCTCTCCTGCTGCTCAGGACCTTCCCTCACTTGCTCAGGACTTTTCCTCGTTTGCCCAGGCTCCATCCTGCCCCTGCCAGGCTGTGCAGCTCCCGGCTGAGCCCAGGCTCACACCCAGCCCAGGGGCAGTGCAGGGACACCCGGGCTTGCAGCTCCTCTCTCCTTTACCTTTGGCAGCGAGCGGCACCGTGGGAAGGTCCTTGGCAAAGCCCAGGAGCTCTGGGAAGTGTTGGCTGAGGGATTTGGCGAGAATGTGCAGGAAGGTGGATTTGCCATCCACAGTCTTGGTCGTGTTCAGCTGCAGCAAAGCAGAACAAGTGAGGATCCCACCGGAGGGCTCACACACACCGGGGTGGGCTGCTCCTCGTGCTGGGGCTAAGGGTTAAACTGCACATTTAAAGTTCACACACAGTTCATGTTCACAGCTTAGTGCTGGAGATGCCCCTCCTGCAGGGCAGGGCTGTCCCCTGTCCCCAGCCCTCAGGTGTCCCCCTGCAGCCCCTATGGGGTGAGCACCTCTCAACGCACACCTGGGCTCTGGCCAGCCCAAGGTGGGCAGGATTCCCACCAGAACCACAGCAGAGCCTCTCTGAAGTCCCCGCTGTGGGTCAATCCAGCCCCTGCACCCTCCCTGGCACCCAGGGTCCCTTTGAGAGCAGCATCATGGGCACAAGGAGCCCCCAGCTCGGTGTGCCCTGCCCTAGAGCGAGCTGCTCTCCTCACCTCGGTGAGGAAGTTGATTTTAAAGCCTGTGGTTTTGCTGGTCTTGGGCTGCCCGTTGTTCAGGTAGTTCCCCATGGCCAGCACGAACTGCAAAAGGAGAGCAGGGCATGAGGGGCTGGTCACTTCCTGGCCCTGGATCCTCCCAGCTCCCAGGACTCTGAATCTCTGTTCCCCACCCAGTAATGTGCAGACCAACACTGTCCCCATGGATTTAAGGAACTGATGGGGGGTCACTGGCCAGGAGCTACTGAGGAGTTTCATCACCCCTCTGCAAATGCCTCTGAGCACACACTGACCTCATTTGTCCCACCTGCTTCTTTTTTTAAAGCAGACCCAAATGAATTAACAGCAATTTGGGACAGCTCATCTGAGGAGGGTCATGGAGGACCTGCAGTGGGATTTGTTCTCTCTGTGCCAGGCTCAGCCCATCCCAGGACCCCAAAATGCCTCCTCAGGGGGAGGGCAGTGTGGGGGTGCACAGGGACCAGCTGGGATGCTGCCCAAACGTGGGACACAGCCATGGGGGCAATGCTGAGGACCAGTGGTGGCTGTCCCAAGGAGAAGGGACCGCTCTGACCTCCAGGATCTTTGCCAGCTTCTTGCTGCTCTTCAGCTCCAGGGAGGCCTTGCAGATGCACTCGTAGCTGGCCTTGATCTCCTCGGTCTTCTCCTGCAGGGTGGTCTTGAAGTGCAGGCTGCGCAGGCGGATCTTGTACTCGGGCACCGACAGCATCTGGGCAAAGAGGGCAGGGTCACCTTCTGCAGGGCAGTGCCACCATCTGCAGGGCAGGATCACCATCTGCAGGGTCACCTTCTGCAGGGCAGGGTCACCTTCTGCAGGGTCACCATGTGCAGTGCTACAGCCACCCCTGCACAGGACCTCTGCTGCCCTGGGCATGGAACAGGACCTACAGGTGGCACAGGGCAGGTGTGCTGCCACGGGATGGACACTTCCACACCAACACCCACGGGTGACTTTGTCAATGGAAAATAAATCAGAGCTGGGCAAAGCCACTGTCACCAGGGAGCCAACGTGGTGGTGGCTTTGCAGCTCTGAACCAGCCCCTGCGAGCTGCCAGACCCCTCAGGCACCAAATGAGCATTAACTGAGCACCACCCCAATGGTCCCAGTGCCATCAGCCCCAGGTGTGAGTGTGCTGCTGGCAGGGACAGGGCACACTCAGCATCACCCAGGTGTGAATGCCATGCTGGCAGGGACAGGCACACTCAGCATCACCCAGGTGTGAATGCCCTGCTGGCAGGACAGGGCACACTCAGCATCACCCAGGTGTGAATGCCATGCTGGCAGGGACAGGCACACTCAGCATCACCCAGGTGTGAATGCCCTGCTGGCAGGGACAGGCACACTCAGCATCACCCAGGTGTGAGTGTGCTGCTGGCAGGACAGGGCACACTCAGCATCACCCAGGTGTGAATGCCCTGCTGGCAGGGACAGGGCACACACAGCATCACCCAGGTGTGAATGCCCTGCTGGCAGGGACAGGCACACTCAGCCCCCTCCCAAAGCACGGCACCTGCAGCACGAACTGGTCGGGCTCGCTGAGCTTGCCGGGGCTCTCCTTGTAGCTCTGGAAGCGCTGCACCTCCTCCCCGTCCGGGGCGTAGAGCAGCAGCTGCTTGATGTGGGAGGGCTCCAGGCGATCCGTCTCCATCGTCATCAGGATCTGCCGCAGCTCCGCGTGCGACAGCTTCAGGTGCGCGATCAGGATGGCTGGGGAGGGAGGCACAGCCCTGTCACTGTCATTGTCACTGTCACTGTCGGGAGCAGGGGACACCACGGGTGTGGCAGGGCTGGGGACACCGTGCCCGGCAGGAATAGGGACAGAACAGAGGGACACACTGCCCAGCAGGACAGAGGGACACACTGCCCAGCAGGAAAGGGACAGGACAGGGACAGGAGCAGTACACCAACCTCCCCAGGGAGTGAGACCCCTGCAGGTGCCCAGTCACGCACAGCCCTGGCACAGGGAGGGTTTTCCCCTCCCTGGGACCCTGCAGGGGCTGCGTGGGGACCCAGGGGTGGCTCTGGTCCTGCAGCCCCCCAGGGCACAGCGTGCACCTCACCCACAGCCCAGCTGGGACCAGCCCTGGGACCAGCCCTGCTCCCACATCCCCAGAGCCGGGGGGATCCTGGGCAGGGTCCCACTGAGCCCTCCCACCCTCCTCCCCACCAGAAGCACATCCTGGAGAGGCAGCACCACCCCTACACTGCCCTGCTTCCCTGTAGGGGTCCCCAGGACCACCAGGCACATCCCATCCCCATCCTTGCCCAGAAAGTCCCCCCCTTACCCCCAAAGTTCCCTCCTTGCTCTGCCCAGGCTGAGCACGCTCTGGGGCAGCTCTGGGCTGCAGGAATAGTCCAGTCAGTCCATCCCAGCTGAGCTGTGCCCATGGGATTGGACTCGTGGCCCTTCCCCTTTACCTTTCCAGCTCTCTACATCCCACCTGTGGGCCCCTTTTGGGGGTACCTTCACTTACATGTGTTGTAGGCCTTTTTGTGGGACAAAATTTCAACCACGTCTTTCTTTTTAAAGTTTTCAGGCATGAGAGTTGGCTCTGGAAGAGAAACTGAAAGATTTAATCGTGGGTAAGGACAGGCTCAGGCGGCTCCAGTGGGAAGAACACTGTCCTGCAAACATGAAACCACGAATGAGAGAGAGGATGCTTTGCACACAGCAATGGCTCCAGGAATCCTTGAATTCTGCAATTCAAAGATCTCCCCAATGGAGGGCTCAGCTGGAGCTGAAAAAGGCAAAAGGAGAGGTGAAACACACAGAAAATCCCAGACTGCTCAGAAACATCCTACAAAGAGCGTGCCCTGAGATGAGCCCCATTGCATCCCAGTGCCAGCTGGGCACCCTGGCCCCTGCAGGGCAGCTCAGACATCCCACTGGCTTCACTGGAATGCCTCCCACAGGGTCACCACCACTCCACACCCACAGCCTGGACCTTGCTCTGGGCTTGTGGCACCCAGAAACTGCTCTGGGTGAGGATCCCGTGGGGCTGTGGGTGATGGGAGCTGCACAGGCACAGAGCTCCAGAGCCAGCACAGCTCTGGGGACACCCACTGATTATCTGCACAAAGAGTGAAGTGCTGCTCGAGGTGATTTCCTCGGACACAGCAATGTTTTCATGGCTTTTGCAGCATTGCCAGAGCTCTCAGGCACTGGAGCTGCAGTTGGTGAAAGCCTCAAGCTGAGTTTCAGTGCCCAATGAAATGTGGAGAGAAAACAGATCGTGGCAGCAGGGATAATTAAGGGAGATAATGAAACCATCTCCACCTTAATGATCCACTGTGCCACAGCCACAAAATCCTGAGGATGAACAAATTCATGGCACGGGAGATGTCACAGACTGGCATTGCCCTGCTGCCCATCCATCCCCAGCTCCTCCCAGTCCCTCCCAGCTGGAAATGGTCTCTGCTGGAACAGGAGCCGTTCTGGGGCTCAGTACTTACTCGTGGGCTTCTGAGTGCCAAAGTGCAGCTCCAGGTCGAGGTATTTGACCATGTCACTGAGCTTGTCGTAATCCGAGTCCTCTCCGAGCTGTGGGAGGAGGAATAGGGGCTGTGCTGGGACGGGGACAGCCCCTCAGTGCCACCTGTGCTGGCACCTTCCCTGTCCCCAGCACAGGCTGGTGGCACCTCCTGTGACCAGAAGCTTGGCCACTGCCCTGCAGATTCACTCAGCTCCCGACACAGAGCACCTCTGGCCTCACTGCTCCTTGCACATGAGCCCCTCACTGGAGGATAAACTGGGAATCACAGGAGCTTCGGGGATTGTTCTGCACACAGAGAAATCACCGTGAGGAAGGATATTCCTCTCTGGAGCGCTGGGGAGAGGGAGCTGCAGGGTTTCAGTGCCTGCGGGACTGGAAGGTGATCCCACAGCTCCCCTCTGGCTGCTCAGGGCACAGGGAATATGGCATGTCCTGAGCACCGGGAGACACCAGAGGCTGGGAGTGGAACCCCGGCAAGGGATGGGATCCACCTCAGAGCTCTGCACCACTCCATGGCCAAAGGATGGTCCTGTCTTGTGTCACCCCTCACCTCTGCTGTCCCCTCCGCTGTCCTGCCCTCTTGGGGCTCTCCCATCACTGCTCCACCCATCCTCATCCTTTCACACTGAAATCCCTGCCAAACAGCTGCAGAACACATCTGGAGGCACCCCCTGAGGGCAGGGGAGTGCTCCCCAAGATGCTGCAGACACAATCAGCACCTCAGAGGCTTCCCAGGGCCTCTCCCAGCCCAGCAGTTTGTTCCAAACAGCTGAAGGATGCACGGCCGCCCTGTAGAGCCTCGGCACAGGTCACTGCTCCCTGGGGCAAGGCTGGGACCCCCTGAACCTTCCCCAGCCCAGCAGTGTGTTCCAAACAGCTGAAGGATGCACGGGAGCCCCGCAGAGCCTCGGCACAGGTCTCTGCTCCCCGGGACACATCTGGGACCCCCTGTACCTCCCCCAGTGCCCTCTCCCGGGCCATACCTGTCCCCAGATGGTGCCCTCCGAGTTCTCCACCTGCTCCCAGCGCAGCCTCTTGACGCTCATGTGGTTGCAGTCGCTGCGGCGGTGCAGCAGCCCGCGGTGCAGGGCGGGGGCGCAGGGCACGGGGGGCGGCGGCGGCGGCGGCGGCGGCGGCGGCACCGGGTGCAGGTGGCTCACCAGGGACTTGGGGACGGGCGCCACGCTGCCCTTGGGGGGCTCGGCCTTGGCGGGGCCGCCCTGGGGGTCGTGGAACGGCAGGGGGGGCGGCGGGGGCGGGGGGCTGAGCGGAGGCGGGGGGATGTGGTCCGAGAGCGTGGAGTAGGTCAGGGAGCTGCCCTCGTCGCTGCTGCTGATGTACTCGCTGCTGCTGACATCGTTGGTGACGTAGCTGCCCTGGTCATCCTGGAAACTCATCTGGGGAGCACAGGGCAGAGGGTGAGGGTGGCATCTTGTCCTCCACCCAATATCATCCATGCTCCTTGTTCTCCATCCACATCCCCCATCCTCCTCATCTTCCATCCACATCCTCCATCCTTCTCGTTCTCCACCCACCATCCTCCATCCTCCTCCACCCACCATACTCTATCCTTCTTGTCCTCCATCCACCATTTTCCATCCTCCTCATCCTCCACATCCTCCATCTGCATCCCCCATCCTCCTTGTCCTGCACCATTTTCCGTGTTCTTCACCCACATCCTGCATGCTCCTTGTCCTCCATCCTCCTCCTCCTCCACCCACATCCATCCATCCATCCATCCTTCCATCCTTCCATCCATCCCACTGTGTCCAGCCCCTCGTGCCACCTGCAGAGCCCAGGACGTGTCCCCTGACCCCTCACATGGCCATCTCCGTACCCAAGGCGCCTACACCATCGCTCTGGTGAGCCCATGGCCCTCTCACCTCCTCGTAGTCGTTCTCGGGGGTGAGGAACTCATCCACGATGGTGACGCGGTGGCCCAGCTGCTCGCTGAGCGCGTCCAGGAAGCGGTCGGTGTCGCGGCTGCGCGGGGGCCGCGAGAAGGTGAACAGCTTCTTGCGCCGCGACAGCGGCGAGCGCGGCCGGCGCGTGGGCGACGGGGCCGGGCTGCTGTCCAGGCTCACGTAGGGGTTGGACTCGGTGCTGCAGGGCGAGGCCACGCTGCTGTGCAGCCGGTAGTAGCACGGCTGGCTCGCCAGCTCGCTCGGCCACGCCAGCCCCGGCTTGCGGCCACCTGTGGGACGGAGCCCGGGGAGCTGTGGGTGGGGGTCCTGCAGCCCCCGGTGTGACCGTGCTCACAGGGGTCTGAGGGTGAGGGAGGAGATGAGGAGCTGAACTCCGTGTTTCAGAAGGCTGATTGATTATTTGATGGTATATATTACATTAAAACTATATATTACATTAAAACTATACTAAAAGAATAGAAGAAAGGATTTTCTCAGAAGGCTGGCTAAGCTAAGAATAGAATAGGAAGGAATGATAACAAAGGCTCTGTCTCAGACTCTGTCTGAGCCAGCTGAGCTCTTTTTGTATAAATATAATATAATATAATATAATATAATATAATATAATATAATATATCAGCCTTCTGAAACTTAGAGTCAAATTCTCATCCCACTCAGAGTGCCTGAAAATTCCACACTGCAGAGCCAGCCGTGCAGGTTCCCTCACCCACAGAACCATGGCTGCTGCCTTGTGAGATGGCACCAAGGGGACACTGCCTTGTGCAATGGTACCAAGGGGACACTGCCTTGTGAGATGGCACCAAGGGGACACTGCCTTGTCCCCACCCGCCTGGCCAGCACCCCCACGGTCCCCTGAGGTCCCCAGAGGTACCTGCAGCAGCGTGTGGCAGCTCGGGGGCAGGGGGGGATGTCCTGTGCAGGGCAGCGTTGCCCACCTTGCCACCAAAGCCCCCGATCAGGCGGTTCTCCAGCTCCGCATACACAGCTGACATCTGGGGGAGCACACAGAGCTGCTGCCATGGCCAGGCCTGAGGAGCCCCAGAGAGCTGCCCCGGAGACCCACCATGCCCTGGGGACAGGGCAGTCCCCACAGACCCGGCTGCCCAGAGCTGTGGCTGCCCCTGCATCCCTGGCAGTGCCCAGGCCAGGCTGGACAGGGCTTGGGGCACCCTGGGACAGGGGAAGGTGTCCCTGCCGTGGCAGGGGTGGCACTGGATGGGCTTTAGGATTCCTTCCAGCCCAAACCTTTCTGGGACTCTCTGGCCCACCAGTACCCATCTTTCACTCTATAAAGGGGGGCTTCACCCCAGCCCTGTCTGAGCCCCCCAAGAGCCTCTCACTGATGAGGCTGCAGGAGGACACTGGCAGGCATCAGCCTCATTAGAGGTGACTAATTGCCCGGGGAGGTGACCTCAGAGAGGGGCAGGGACACCCTCAGCCCCTGCAGGTGTTCACCCACACGCCCCCCATTCCCTTTTCCTGCTGCCCTGTGCTCACAGCAAAGGAGCCAGGAACCTTCCCGTGCCCACACCACCCCACAGAGGCGGGCAGAGCCCCACAGAGGTGCCCCCTGCCCCATCAACCACACCATTTTGGGGTTGGGTGTCTCCGGGAGGGACGTGCCATCTCCAGCCTGTCTCTCTCCAGGGATCAGGCGCACGGGGACCTCCACGGTGTCACTGCCTGCAGAGGGAGAGACAGAATCACTGCTCTGTGTGTGCCCCAGCCCCACAGCCCTGACCCACACGGGGCCCTGTGTGCTGCTGGGACCCACAGCGACCCCCCTGCCCCAGCTCCCGGCTCTGGGGTCCCCAGGGAGCAGTGCAGGGTGGGTTTGGGGTCAGCAGACAGCTCCAAGCTGCTCTGGTGTCCCCTCAGGGCAGCTGAGGACAGGGCTGCTCCCACAGCTGGCCAACATCTGCCCAGCCACAGCTCCCCTGCAGCACACACAGCTGTTGGCTGCTCTCCAGGCTCTAATCCCCTCCAGAAGAGCTCCTCGGAGCCAGGGCAGAGGATCTTCCTCCCCTGGGAAGTGTCCCAGAGCCCCTGACAGCTGAGGGACACCGCACGGCCAGGAGGTCCTCAGGGAGGTCAGGGGCAGGTCGTGCTCAGGAGCACAGCTCAGGGCCCTTTGGCATCAGCCAGGGGAGATGGGACAGGCAGGGCTGTGTGCCCTGGAGGGAGCCAGGGCTGGGGCCTCAAATGGGGCTTGTCAGAGTCTCAAAGGGGTCCTGAACCGTGGTCTCCCTCCTCACATCATTTCACAAGTGTGTTTTTTCCTGTTAACTGGATGGACTCTGAGCATGTTCAGAGGGAAGCCATAAATTTTATCCCTAGAAGGGGTGGGAGGCCCAGACCAGCAGGACCAGTTCACATCTGAGTGATGGAAGGGGTTGGAAATAACATTCAGCCTTTTGATCAAGCGTTCTCTTATTGAATTGGTTCTTTCATTATGGAATTGCTGTCCCTGGAGGTGTCCAAGGCACCCCTGAATGTGGCTCTCAGTGCTCTGGGCTGGGTGACAAGGTTGGGGATCAGTCACAGGCCAGACTCGATGATCTTGGAGGGCTTTTCCAACCTTAATGATTCCGTCACTCTATAATTCTGTGATTCTGTTTCAGAAAACATGGATTTCCAGCTGATGCCTCAGTGCTGGCTCTACTCTGACCTCCCTCCACCTTTGCCTCCATCTTTTCCCATCGTTCTTGCTTAAGAGTAGGTCAGGAATTTGTCTTGGGGCAGAGCAGGACGCAGCAGGGACAGCCCCATGTCCCAGCCCCAGTGACCCATGCAATCCCCTCCCCAGGACAGGGAATCCAGCCCAAATCCCCCACCCTATCCCCTCCCCAGGGCAGGGAATCCAGCCCAAATCCCCCACCCTATCCCCTCCCCAGTGCAGGGAATCCAGCCCAAATCCCCCACCCTATCCCCTCCCCGGTGCAGGGAATCCAGCCCAAATCCCCCACCCTATCCCCTCCCCGGTGCAGGGAATCCAGCCCCCCTGACCCACCTGCTGCCCCCTCCTCGGGCCGGGGGGTCCTGAGGCTGCCCCGGCACAGGGAGGCCCCTCGGATGGAGCTGCGGTACCGATCCTCAGCCTCTGCCTCGGCTGTGAGGAAACACCTCTGTGAGGCACAGCCAGACCCACAGCTCCCACTGCTGCTCCTCAGCCTGCACAGGCACCCCCAGAGCCCCCCAGAGCCCCCCATGGAACCCACATTGCCAGGTAGCTGCTGGCTCCATCCCTGGAGCTGAGCAGGTTCAGGTGCTCCTGCCAGCACAGGGCAGGGATGGATGCTCAGGGATGGGACATCCAATCCCTTTTCGCATTAGGATTGCCATCCACCAGCTCATGGCCCACGTGGAACTGCAGCCCTGCTCTGGGCTAGTCCCAGTAAACCCTTCCTGCCCCCAAGGAAGGGTTTACTGGGATGCTGTGGAAGGAGCACATGGCCCATGCAGTGTCCATGTGCAGCTCAGGGAGGCTCACAGGACGGAGGGATCCATCCCTGAGGTACCCAGCACTGGGACAGGGGAGATCACCCAGTCTGGAGCCCAGGGGAAGGCCCAGCCCAAACCCAGAGATCTCACCTGGCCATGGTGCTGCAGGGCACAGACACAGAACAGACCAGAACAATGAAAAACGTTCATGCCCAGAGACTGCCCTGTTCACCTGAGACACTGAGAGGAGCCAGGGACCAGCCTGGGGCTGGGAGAGCTGCCCCTGTGCCCCTCTCGTCCCCTGGCTGGGGATTGCTGCTCTGCATCCCTGGAATGCAGCTGAGAACATCACACTATTACAGGACATGAATTCCTGGGGATCCACAGCCCGTGGCTGAGCTGTGATCCTGCACACACGGAGCAGAGGGGGCCCAGTGCAAACCCAGCGAGCAGATCCAGGGTGCACAGAGCACGTGGAGCACAGCATCCCATGCACAGCAGGCAGGATTTGCACCAGGACTTGGGGCTGTTCTGTTTCCTGCTAAAGTCACTGTGTTCCTCCAAAACAACACTTCTTTTACCTTTGCTGGGTCTAAAATTAGCATATCTGTGTGAGCAGCTGAGAACAGCAAAATTGGAAGTAATTAAGAGCACAAACACACAAATTAGGACATTTCACTTCAAACCTGCTCTCCTGAGTCCACCACTGGCTTTGTGCTGCCACAGAACCAGGTGAGGGTGATGGTGAGGGGGACCAGGGGATCACCAACTGCCTCTGTGTCTTCTTGGGAGAGCAGCACCACCTTTTCCTAGCAGGGATGTGTCTGTGGCATCCCAAGGGATGCCCTGTCACCCTTATTGCACCTCTCTGATCTGAATGCTGCCCTTGCACCAGCTGTCCTGGATTTCCTCACCTCTAACACCTGAGCAGCTTCCAGGAGCCCCCAGAGTGACCCTCTGAGGTGCCATCTCTCCTCTGCATCCAAAACTGCACCAGCACAAGGGACTGAGCTCCCTGCACCATCAGGACACGGCGTGTCCATCCTGGAGCACGGGGCTGCCTCTCACCTGCCAAGGCCTTGCACCCCAGAAACCTGTCCAGCTTTTGCTGGCAGTGCTCCTGCTCCTCGTAGCTCAGCAGCTGGTAGATAAACTGCCAGAGGACTTGCTTGGCTGGGGTGTCCAGCACCGGGTACACATCCACAATGAGAGTGTCAATGGTCCTGCAAAACAGGAGAGGGCTGGGCAGTGAGGGTGACAACGGTCCTGGAAAACAGGAGAGGGCAGTGAGGGTGTCAGTGTTCCTGGAAACAGGAGGGGGGCAGCTCCTGGGGCCAAAGGCTCCATCTGATTTTGGTGTGTACATTGGGGAAAAGGGCTCTTGGGAGCAGCTGAGCACCCCATCCCATGAGGGTAGAACAGCCTGCAACTGGTGCCCTGGCACAGGTGCCCAGAGCAGCTGTGGCTGCCCCTGGATCCCTGGCAGTGCCCAAGGCCAGGCTGGACAGGGCCTGGAGCAGCCTGGGACAGTGAAGGTGTCCCTGCCATGGCAGGGGTGGCACTGGGTGGGCTTTAATGTCCCGTCTAACCCAAATATTCCATCATTCCATGGTTCTGTGACAGCCTCTGACAAAGCACTGCTGGGAGGCCAAGCAAGGGCAGGAAAGGAGGTCACTGGCCCAGGTGTGCCCTGCCTGACAGTGACCCTGGCACTGCCCCAGCCCAGGTGTGCCCTGCCTGACAGCGACCCTGGCACTGTCCCAGGTGTGCCCTGCCTGACAGTGACCCTGGCACTGCCCCAGCCCAGGTGTGCCCTGCCTGACAGCGACCCTGGCAGTGCCCCGTGCCAGGGCAGGAGTCCCAGCTGGCAGCAGTTACCGGTGGTGGAAGAAGCCCTCCAGGGCCTTGCAGACGCTGAAACGCTCGGGGGGGGTCAGCAGGTGCTCCAGCTGCTGCGTGAACGTCCTTCCCTGGATCTTGATGCTAGAGGGGAGAATCTCTGCCACCCACTGCAGGGAGGTGAGGGCCGAGGAGCTGCTCGGGGACTCGGCAGAGTCAGAGTCTGCAAAATAAATATTCCATCTTTCCAAAGAAATATTCCATCTTTCCTTGGCTTCCCTCGAGGCCAGTGGAGCACTCTGAGGGCCACTGGCTGCGTGCTTTGGAGTAGGTCAGGCTGGATGGGCTTTGGAACAACCTGCTCTGGTGGAAGGTGTGAGGGGTGAAACGAGAGCATCTTTAAGGTCCCTTGCAATCCAAACCATTCCAGGTGCTGGGGCTCTGTGCAGCAGGGAGCTGCTGGGGTTGGTGTGAGAGCTACCTGCAAATGAGCTGGGGCATCCCAGGGCTCCTGAGGTGGGGCTGAGGGGAGCCCAGTGCTGCTCCAGAGGGAAGAGCCAGGCCTGGCTCCCAGCTCTGGGCATTTGGGAGCAGCACAGGCACCCTCCAGCCTCCTCAGCAGGATGACAATCCTGCACAGCTCAGCCCTAGGCAAGGATAACAATCCCGCACAGCTCAGCCCCGAGCACAGCGTTGGGTTACTGCAGACAAGGACACAGCACACACGTTGCAGGAAGGACACTGCAAGGGACACCAGGGACAGCCACACAGCAGGATGAGCCCTCCTGGAGAGCAGCCAAGCCTGGGCTCCAGCCTGATCCCACCGTGCAAGGGCCACGTGCCCTGGGCAGGGGAGCATCCCCAGGCAGTGTGTTTGTTAAACCTGCTCTGCCCATGGGGGTGCCCAGGAATGTTTAACACTGCCCAGCCCATGGGGGTGCCCAGCAGTGTTAAACCTGCTCTGCCCATGGGGATGACCAGCAGTGTTAATCCTGCTCAGCCCATGGGGGTGCCCAGGAATGTTTAACACTGCCCAGCCCATGGAGGTGCCCAGCAGTGTTAAACCTGCTCTGCCCATGGGGGTGCCCAGCAGTGTTAAACCTGCTCTGCCCATGGGGGTGCCCAGGAATGTTTAACACTGCCCAGCCCATGGAGGTGCCCAGCAGTGTTAAACCTGCTCTGCCCATGGGGATGCCCAGCAGTGTTAAACCTGCTCTGCCCATGCAGGTCCCCAGCAGTGTTAATCCTGCCCAGCCCATGGAGGTGCCCAGCCATTCCCTCCTGCCCCAGGAGCTGGGCAGCTGGCTGGGCTGGCTGCTCTCCAGACCCTCCCTCTGCACTCTTACCGTTGGAGAAGCTGACAATGCCCTCTTCCACCACCAAGGTGGGCATGGCCCCGCTGCCCTGCAGCATCGACACCACCTTGTCGTGGGAGCAGTTCCTGCAGCACAGAGAGCTTGGTCAGAGCTGCCCAGGGCAGCAGGGAGCACACACAGCCGGCAGCTCCTTCCTCTGTCTGGGAAAGCCTCCTGGTGCTGCTCAGAGCCCCTCTGTGATCCCCTGGATTCTCTCCACCTGTGCTGCCCCAAGGCGGAGCCTGGGTCCTGCCCCACGAGTGGGCACCAAGGAACCACCATGGCAATGCCTGTGCCCGCCCTGAGGAGTGCCAAGGCAGAGTTAAGCTGCACGCAGACCCAGAAAATGATTTTTCCTTTAAATAACACAGCGCTGCAGGTCTGTCCTCGCCTGCCCTAATTCTGCGTGGAAATAAAAGGCAAGGGGAACATGAAGTGTAATTTTGTAGGTGAGAAAATCTCGGGATGCCCTTGGAGAAGGGCATGGGCCAGGCTGGGACAACGCCTGCCAAAAGCAGGGCTCAGAGGACAATCCTCAGCCCGGTCTCCTTTTCCTGGCAGTGCTGCATCAGCCAAGAGTTCGCTGGATCAGCTGAAACGTGAGAACCCGAGCCCTGACAGAAGCAGCATCGCTTTAACCTTTAAATATTCATCACTCTCTCTTGTCCTGCAGCCTCCTCTCACCCTTTGCTCTTGGTTTTTATGCAGAAAGACACCCCCAAGGACACAGCACGGGCGAGGGGCACAAGTCCCTCTGGTCCCACTGCTTTGGTGCACAAACAACACACAAAATTAAATTCTGGGTACAAGTGGGATTCCCACCTGGGGAACGATCGTGTTAAGATTATGATCCCATTGTGGGAATGACTCCTGTGCTGGATGGGGCTCTGCTGCTCCCCAAAGCAGAACCCCAGGTGTTCAACACCTACAGATTAACTCAGAGTGCCTGAAATTGGGGACTGGGGTGGGCTGCAGTCAGAACCAGGCTGTATAAACTGTCCTGCACAGAGAACCCGGAGGAGGAGCAGGGCTGGACAAAATGCTCCTTTAGAGCCAGGTGTTGTCCAGCAGCACCAAAGGAGTGTCCCCAGCCGTCCCCTCAGGGCAAACCACGGCAGCACACAGGGACAGGACCAGCAGCTCCCATTCCCCTTGCCCAAGGGTGACCACAGCCCCTGCCCAGCCCTGGGTGCCCTGCCCAGCTCGTACCTCATGTCCAGGCCGTTGAGGAACAGGATCCTGTCTCCAGCTTTGAGCGCAGCCTTCTCCGCCGGGCTCCCTGGGGGCACAGAGGGGCTCCAGCTGCAGCTCCCCTGCCTGGCATGGGCACCCAGGGGCATCCCCAGGCAGGGCACTCCTGCGCCTGGCTGGGCTGGGTGGGCTGGGACCCTTCACCCAGCTGGGTGCAGCACTGGTGGCATGTCAGGATGGTCACTGAACACACTTCCCACTTCTCCCAACAAGGAGTGTGTGTCACTGACATATTTTCTGAAAAATCCCTTTGCCAGGGTCTTTTCTCCTGAGAAGCTGGGAAGCCTGAGCTCCTCCATGTTTTGCTGCTTTGGAATGTGATTTGGAGAATTGTTTACCCAGCATGTGAATTGTTTTTAATTAATGGCCAATCACACCAGCTGTGTCAGACTGTCTGGTCAGTCACAGGATTTTATTATTCATTCCTTTCCAGCTTTCTGATGTCTCCTTTCTCTTTCTGTAGTACAGTTTTAATATATCATTTTCTTTTAATATAATATATATTATAAAATAATAAATCAGCCTTCTGAAACATGGAGTCAAATTCTCATCTCTTCCCTCATCCTGGGGACCCTCAAACACCACCACAGGAGTGGATAAAGCCAAACTAAATTGTACCAAAGATGTTCACTATTCCACAGGAAAAACTCCATCACCGGGCCTTGGGAAAGTCCCTTTGGCTCTTTTCTAGCAATCAGCACTCCACATTTGGAGTTCAGAGCAGAGGTGAGTCCCTGGTGCCCCAAATCTGGTGTTCCTACCTGGCAGGACGGACTCGATCCACACCGGGGCATGGCCGCGGAGGGTGAAGCCAAAGCTCCTGTTGCCTTTATAAACTCGCACGGTTCTGGGGTGAAAAAGGCAAACAGGATGTCAGAGTACAAGATCCAGCCCTTGTTTCCTTCCCCAGCCCCTCCAAACCCTGTTAGCCCTGGTTGTCCTGAGGGCCCAAGTCCCCAGTGCTCCCAAGGCCCCCTTTGATACCAAAGTGTCTTTCAAAGGTGGTTTCAAAGTGCAATATGGGATAAATATATAGATTTAAAGAAGAAATATATGTGTAAAAGCTAAAAATTATCTGGTTCCAACCCCCCATGACAGGGAGTAGGAATTGGATGATCTTTAAGGGCTCTTCCAACCCAAACCAGCCTGTGATTCTTTATTACAGAGAATTAGAGACAATGTGCTTCAGGGAGCAAAGGTCTCCTCGGCTGATGAGAGAGGAATTAAATTCCTCCAGGAAATTTTGGAAGGAGCATTAGGAAATCTCCCTGCTGGGAGGCTGATTGGAGCTGAGGGCTGTTCCTGATTGCTGCAGGGACCTGGGGGAAGGCAGCATTGCTGAGATCATTTCCAACCAGCAGGATCCTGAGCTGGCAGGGAGGGACACTGGGCTGGGAGTGCATTTGGGACCAGCCACAGGGAAGATCAGCCTGGCAGCAGGGTGGGCAGCAGGGTGGGCACCCCTGGGTGCTCTCAGCCTGGCAGCAGGGTGGGCAGGAGCCCGGATCCCTGCTCTGCTGCTGGCTGGGTGGGGCAGGGTCTGCAGGAGCTCCCTGCCCTCGGGCACTGCAGTCTGGCCATCTGGGCACGGAGGGAAGTGGGTTAATCCCTGTGCTGTGGGACAATCCCTGTGCTGGGGATTGTGCTGCCTTCCTCCCACAGCCCAGCACACAGACACCTGCTGGGGCAGGGCAGGGCCAGGCACTGACTGAACCAGGGCATCCCAGGGCTGGAAAAGACCTTTCAGGTTATGGAACCCACCTGCCAAGCCAGCACCACCCCGTGCTCAGCACTGCCCCATCTCCTCAAGTGCCATATTCACATTTCCCCAGCATTTCCAGGCTGGGGACTCCAGCCCTGCCCTGTGACCATGCCTGACAGCCCCTGTGTGAGGGAATTTCCCTGATATCCAAACTAAACCTGCCCTGCTGCAACTTGAGGCCATTTGCTCTCATCCTGTCACTCGTTACCTGGGGAAAGAGACCAACCCCAACCTGGCTCCATCCTCCTTCCAGCCTGCTCTGTGGCCTGAATCCTGCTGGCACAGCTGGGCATCCCCAATCCTGCTGGCACAGCTGGGCATCCCCAATCCTGCTGGCACAGCCTGCATCCCACCCAGCGAGGAGCAAACATCCCCTCTCAGCCTGCAGGTGCCACCCCAGCTGCTGACACAGCTCATCCAGCCAGCCCTGCAGAGCTGAGGGCACACAGAACTGGGACAAGGGGCACAAAGCTGCCCAGCCTTCCAGAGGGAGAGATCCTTCTTCACCATGACCCCAGGAGAGCTGCACACTGAGCGCCCTTCCCGCACTCCGTCCCTCCCGCACTCCGTCCCATCCCGCACTCCGTCCCACCCCGCACTCCGTCCCACCCCGCACTCCGTCCCTCCCGCACTCCGTCCCTCCGGCACTCCGTCCCATCCCGCACTCCATCCCTCCCGCACTCCGTCCCTCCCGCACTCCGTCCCACCCCGCACTCCGTCCCATCCCGCACTCCGTCCCTCCCGCACTCCGTCCCACCCCGCACTCCGTCCCTCCCGCACTCCGTCCCTCCGGCACTCCGTCCCATCCCGCACTCCATCCCTCCCGCACTCCGTCCCACCCCGCACTCCGTCCCTCCCGCACTCCGTCCCACCCCGCACTCCGTCCCATCCCGCACTCCGTCCCTCCCGCACTCCGTCCCATCCCGCACTCCGTCCCATCCCGCACTCCGTCCCTCCCGCACTCCATCCCAAAGGCAGCGGGGCGGTACCTGCGGGCAGCCCCCGAGGCCACGTTGCTGCTGACGAGCGAGGAGGTTTTGCGGAGGCTCTTGCTGAGCTCCTCGTGGCTGCGGGGCACGGAGCTGGCGCGGGTGGACACGAGCAGCCGCTCCTGCTGGTCCTCGCTGCGGCTGCGGCGCAGGCGGTTGCCGTGCTCGCTGCGGGAGCGGCACAGCTTGCTGATGAGGCTCTGCGACACCACCTCGTCAAAGCGCTGCCGGTGCTTCTTGGGGATGAAAATCCTGGGGAACGAGGCGAGGGAGGGAGTGAGGAGCGGGGCAGGGGCAGGTGGGCACAGAGCTGGGGGCACGGGCAGGTGGGCACAGAGCTGCGGGTCCAGGTGTCCCTGGGATGGAAAGAGCTGAACCCCTCGTGTGAGCCTGGCCTCAGTCCTCACAGACCTGAGAATGATGGGGCTGGGGACACCGAGGATGCTGGGGACACCAGGGGGACACCACCTGCATTTGTTCCCCCATCCCATGCAGAGCTCAGCTGGAGCAATGATGATGTTGGAACCTTCCCCCAGTCCCACTTCTGGTACCCCCAGACGCTGCTCTCCTGGGCTCCAGCTGTGAATATTCCCTCATTCCAGCTCCCCCCACAGCCAGGCAGAGCCTGGTGGCCCTTGGGAGATGACAACACTGCAGGGACGGGCACGGTGATGCCGCAGGCAAGGGGACAGCCCTGGTACTCGCTCTGTTTGGGGTCACCTCCCCTCTGCCTGGTGGGAGCAGCCAGGTGCCCCTTGTGCCCTGCAGGGATGCCCAGGACACTCAGAGGATGCTCATGGAGTGCACAGCAGGACCCCAGGAGGGAGGAGGAGGAGGCACCGCTCCCACCTGGGCCCAGGTGAGCTCCATAACCCGGCAGACACTTCATCATCTCCTTCTCCTTCTGCCTCACAGCAGGCAGAGCCGACACCTGCTCAGGATTCAGGGTTTCTGGAGGAGCAGCACCTCCGAGTGTTTCTATAGCAACTCCTGCAGCTGCGGCTCGTTCGCACAGAGCCATCCCGGGAGCTTCGGCAGCGCCGCTTCCTTGGCACCGCGCGGGTGTGCGGGGAGCGGGGCCGGTGTGATCACTGCCCCGAGGGTATCACTGCCCCAGGGGTGGTATCACAGCCCCGAGGGTGGTATCGCTGCCCCGAGGGTGGTATCACAGCCCCAGGGGTGGTATCACTGCCCCGAGGGTGGTATCACTGCCCCAGGGGTGGTATCACAGCCCCGAGGGTGGTATCACAGCCCCGAGGGTGGTATCGCTGCCCCGAGGGTGGTATCGCTGCCCCGAGGGTATCACAGCCCCAGGGGTGGTATCACTGCCCCGAGGGTGGTATCACTGCCCCAGGGGTGGTATCACTGCCCCGAGGGTGGTATCACTGCCCCAGGGGTGGTATCACAGCCCCAGGGGTGGTATCACAGCCCCGAGGGTGGTATCACTGCCCCGAGGGTGGTATCACAGCCCCGAGGGTGGTATCACTGCCCCAGGGGTGGTATCGCTGCCCCGAGGGTGGTATCACTGCCCCAGGGGTGGTATCACTGCCCCAGGGGTGTCAGCACACCTCACCCCGGCTGCCTGGGGACCGCGGGTCCCACCTGAGAAGCAGCTGGGCCAAACTGGTGCCACAGGAGCTGCTCTGAGGGGCAGCACCCGGGACACAGCCGGGGCTGGCAGAGGATCCCAAAGGGCTCCCTTGGGCAGCTGCACCACGGGAACACAAAATCCTGGGTGGAGACAGGAGGAGAGGCTCCAAATCCCAAATCTACTGAGACCAGGACATCTCTGCTTCCCCCAGCCAAAGGCAGAGCTCAGAACAAGAGCTGGTGCAGGAGACAGACCACGAGGCACCCAAAGCTGGCAGATGTTCACACAGAGCATCTGGTGACAATTTAAAACAAGTAACAAAACACATTGGTGCAATTCCCAGGTGATTTGTGACTAAGCAGCAACCAGAAAAGAGTGACATTTTGCTAATAAATAGTTCACCCTATGGGACAGGGGAGGATGTGGGTCCCCCAAACCTCCGCCCCAGGCTGGGCACCCATCAGGGAGAAGTCCGGATTCCTCACAGGCAAAATGAGCACAATCCCATTTAATTGGCCAAATTACATCTGCTCGTTCCAGCAGAGCTGTCCCAGTTTGCACCAGCCTTTCCTTCAGCCCTGGGCGGAGGAGCTCAGCCCCAGACCCAGACCAGGACCCAGCACTGGCACAGAGGAGCTCAGACCAGCCCCAGCCCAGGACCCGGCACTGGCACTGCCCCAGGACTGGCTCAGAGCTGGGGGACAGCAGGGCCCAGGCAGGAGAGACCCCGCTCACTGCAACAATCAATCCCACCAGAGCAGGCAAAACCATTTCTGTGGCTGTTCCTCAGTGTCCTGCCATCCCCCAGGACAAACCTGCCTTTGGGCACTGCCATGGCACCAAGGAGCAGTGCCCAGCTGGGGTTTCCCTCTGCCGGCAAATCCCACTGGGATTCACGGGGCAGGGATGTGCCCACCCTGTCTGTGGAGGTCAGGCAGGGCCAGGGTGCTACAGTGCTGGCCTTGTGCCTTCTGCTTCCTCCTCCTCCTCCTCAGGTGCTCCAGGTCAGCCCCAGCTCTGTTTCCTGTTGGACACGGATGGGAAAGGCACCCCCATCCTGAGCCCTGTGCCCACTCCCATGCCCGGTGCCACTGAGGGCACCAGCCCTGCTCTGCAGCAGCTTTGCACTCACCTGGGAGAGCTCAGTCTGCTCAAAGGCATGGAAGGGAATTCAGGGCATTTTCCAGGCCAGGAAAAGTCCCAGATGCTCTGGGCTGCTTCACCTTCACCCCATCCCCAGAGCAGCCCGGCCAGGATGGTGGCAGAGTGGCACTGTGCCCGTCCCCTGCCCAGGGCTCCCTTTGGCACCTCTCAGCCTGTGCCACACTCCCATCCCACAGCTGCCAGGTGGGTCACTGGGCACCCAGCACTGGCAGTCCTGGTCCTGCAGCCCACCCTGCTGGGAGCTGCCTCCATTCCCAGCCAGTCCCTGTGCCACACACACGTGTCCTGCGAGCCCCTGTGTCACACACACATGTCCTGCCACACAAACATCCTGCCAGCCCCTGTGTCACACACACATGTCCTGCCACACACACGTCCTGCCAGCCCCTGTGCCACACACAAACATCCTGCCAGCCCCTGTGCCACACACACGTGTCCTGCGAGCCCCTGTGTCACACACACATGTCCTGCCACACACACGTGTCCTGCCAGCCCCTGTGCCACACACAAACATCCTGCCAGCCCCTGTGCCACACACATATGTCCTGCCAGCCCCTGTGCCACACGCACACACGTCCTGCGGGGCACACCGAGCATCCCGGCCGGTCCCACCCCGGATGGCGGTGCTGGGGCTCAGCAGGACAGGACGCGACCCCGGGGACAGCAGAGCCGGCTCCAGCCTGCCCGGGGCCGGTGGAGCTGCCACAACTTTGCTCAGCCATGGGGGCGAGGGGACACCGAGCCTTGCCCATCCCACCCCAGCCCCTCATCCTCATCCTCCTCCCCCGGGCTGCCCTGCAGGGCTGGAGCCAGAGCAGCCCCGTTGGGGCTCTGCCCACCGCTCCCACCCCAGTTCCCATCCCAGCATCGCCCGACTGCCCCAGCACCGGTGCCAGGGCTGTCCCGGGACACAGCGGGGTCCCCCAGCCCCCAGGGGCAGCCGAGCCACCCAGGGACACCCGTGGGGGCTCTGCCAGCACCGCCCGGGCGGGCAGCGCGGCGGGGACACGTACCGAAAATGCCGCGAGAAACTCCGGTCCTTTCCCATTTGTCGGGGTGCGGCGGGAACGAAAGGGAGACGCTTCAGATCCTCATGCAGCTGAGCCCCGGCTCACGCCCGCGGTGCCAGCCGGTGCCGCCCCGCGTGTGGCACCCCCGCCGTGCCCGGGCACCGGCACCGGCCCCTCCGGCAGCTGCCAGCCCCCGGTGCGCCCCCAGCATCGGCCGAGAGCCCCCCTGGCCAGTGCCCGGCTCGGTCCTGCCTGCTTTCCCTCCCTCCTCTCCCCAAAACTGCAGCGCTGCGCTTCCCAGCCGGAACGAGCCCGTCGCTCCTCAGAAAGGAGGGCACGGCTCGGCGCCCAACTCCGGGGGGATGCCTCCCTGCTGCTAATTAGCGACTTCTCGAGCGCTTGTGTTTAAATTGCGTGCTGCGGGAAGGGGCGAGAAACCTTAAAGGCAAACGGCACCGGGGGTGGGGAGCTGGAGCTGCCAGGCTGGACCGGGACCAGGATCAGGACCACGACCAGGACCAGGATCAGGACCAGGACCAGGATCAGGATCAGGACCAGGAACAGGACCAGGAACAGGACCAGGATCAGGATCAGGACCAGGACCAGGAACAGGACCAGGACCAGGACCAGGACCAGGACCAGGACCAGGATCAGGACCAGGATCAGGACCACGACCAGGACCAGGACCAGGATCAGGACCAGGATCAGGACCAGGACCAGGAACAGGACCAGGACCAGGATCAGGACCAGGATCAGGACCAGGAACAGGACCAGGACCAGGAACAGGATCAGGATCAGAGTCAAGGGCCCAAACCCTCACACGGAGCATCCTTCACCCCAAGGGGAACACAGCAGAGCCTTTCAGCAGGAATAAAAGACAAAACCCTTCTTTAATTTACATAAGGCACATCACTGGTGTTTGATGAAGAGGATGTGCAGCTTCCCAGGGCTGCCAACATCACACACAGTCCCCAGGTAGCAGCAAAGGAAGGAGAAATGGAAAATGCGCGGTTTGGCCCCAAAACAGCCAGCAAAGACCTGACCTTGAGTTTGCCGGTTGTGCAGGAAAACGCGTCCCAGAGTGGATTAAAACACTGAGCTACACTTGGATTATGTCTGAACTGTGCTGTGGAAACCACTACCAGAAAAACCCTGCTGGCAGTCCCACAGCTCTGGGGACACAGAGACCCCCAAAGAGACCCCAGAAAGGCTTTTCTGCAGCTCCAGGCTGCTTTCCCTGCTTTCCAGGCACTGGAAAGCTCATCCTAAGCAACCCCTTCCCAAAATACAAGTTGTGGCTCCAGCAGGGTGCAGGGGGCCGGGCTGGTCCCATCTGCATCCCGGCCAGAGTTTGATTCACCAAAGGAATTTAATCTCCCATCAGGAGATTTCCCACCGAGGCATTTTGGTCATGACCTATTTGAACTCCGCCAATAGAAAAGGAACTCGCTCCCAATTGTCTCACTGCTGGCACGTTTTGTTCCCTGCTGCCCTAATTCCCCTCTTTTTTGGGCAGTTGAGCATATGCTGGGCCATCAGATTAGGGATTTCTCTTTTAATGGAAGGGAACAAGAGCTGCTTTTCCTCCATTACCATCCTGTGACCCAGGTGGATTTCCAGTGGGAATGAAGGGACCGTGGACAGGAGGACAGTGCCCACATCAGCACCAGGGACTCGGGGAGCCTCTCATCCTCCATCCACATCCAAAAGAGCCGGGGAGCTCCCCCAGCCCTGGAGGGTGGGCACGTGGAGGGGGTTGACAAGCAGGGAAGCAGCACAATCCATGATATTTAAATCCTAATGGCTGAAATGAAATTTCTGATCCAGGGCCGGTCACAGATGGCTGGAGCAGTTTAATACAGGAGCACGCCAGGCAGTTTTACTGCCGTGAAAAACAAGCTGAGGCAAATAGATTGTGGTGGGAGCGTTATTAACTCGGGCTCGGTGGGATTTCTGCCGCACCGAGGGAGCCCCCGAGGGCAGCGATTTCAGCTGAGCCGCGATCGGGGGTGAGAGCGGGCTCAGCCCAGCCCAGCCCGGCCCGGCACGGCCCCCTTGGCTTTATCCCGGGAGCAAACGGGGCAAAACCAAAGCAGGGAGGAACAAACCGCCCCAAACTGTCCTGCCCGCAGCCCTGAGCACAACACGACTTACAGAGAGCCAAGAGAACATCTCACACACAGCCCAAACAGAACCAGAGCTTCCCCTAAGGACACACATCCCCGTGGCAGCCGGGTAACAGGACGCTGCCTGTGTCACCGTGCCACCGGCTGTGCCTGCTGCTGGCCCCAGCACTGGGCTCGGAGGGACGGGATCCGAATTCCCCCAGTTCCACTGCAAACAGATGTTTTTAACCCAAACGGTGCTGCCGGGGGCTGGCGCATCCCTGGCACGGCACCGCCGGGAAAACGCGCGCTGCAAAGGGACACGGTGCCCTGAGTGACACCGAGGGCATCCCCGTGCCCCGCTCGGTGCCCTGAGTGACACCGAGGGCATCCCCGTGTCCCGAGGGTGGCTCCTGCCCCCAGAGCCCGGGGATGGAGCTGGCACAGCTCTGCAGAGCTCCGGGTGAGGAGCTGGCACCGCGGCTCTGCCCTGCTTTGGAACCAGCTCAGGAATGGAGCAGCACCGAGGGACGTGACCCCCTGAAACCGGCCCAGAATAACCCCCCCGGGGCCAGCCCGAGCGGGGACAAACCCCGCGGTGTGCCGTGAGGGAAGAACCCAATTAGAGCCTCCCCCTCCCGGATCCCTCGGGCGGAGCAGCTCCTCGGATGCTAAGAGTTAATTAACTTCCAGCACACCTTGATTCCGCGGTGCCAGGGCTGCCACATTGCGGGATGAACCTGATTTAAACCCATTTCCCTCGCTCGCAGCGCTCGTTACTCACCCGAGACAGCTCATCTTGCCCCCTGGCAGCCGGCTCTCGGCATCCTCGGGCACAGCCGCGCGCTTTGCCTGCTCACATCAGCCATATGGGCAGGGGATGGGAGCGGGGAGGACGCGGCGCAGCACGAGCATCATCCCCGCTACCCACAGCCCGGCAGAGGAAAGAAATGTCAGCAAATTGAAATCTGCGGGAGCTTAATTCCGGGCAAATGGGATGGAATCCATTCGAGATCAAAAGAAAGGGGGGGGGACAATCCAATAGTGGGAAAGGCCGGCCGGAGGGCAGGGCAGAGCAGAGGCGGCTGCAGCCCCGGGAGGATCCGAGCGCCCGGCCGGCTCTGGGGTTACACTGAGCCGCAGCGCTGGGCCGGAGCTCGGCAAGGCCCGGGGGGAGCCGGGGGACAGCGGGGAGGGGACAGCAGAGACAGGCGGCAGCAGCACCGGCACACAAATAAATACAGCTGGTGCACAGGGAGGATCCAATCAGGGCAGCGCCAGGGTCAGTGGGAGACGGGGACGGAGCGGCGGCTGGCCCTGCGTGACAGGGGACACAGGGGCACACTGCCCGTCAGTGACAGGGGACACAGGGGCACACAGCCTGTCAGTGACAGGGGACACAGGGGCACACTGCCCGTCAGTGACAGGGGACACAGGGGCACACAGCCTGTCAGTGACAGGGGACACAGGGGCACACTGCCCGTCAGTGACAGGGGACGCACGGACACATAGCCTGTCAGTGACAGGGGACACACGGGCACATAGCCTGTCAGTGCCAGGGGACACACGGACACATAGCCTGTCAGTGACAGAGGACGCACGGACACATAGCCTGTCAGTGACAGGGGACACACAGACACATAGCCTGTCAGTGACAGGGGACACAGGGGCACACTGCCCGTCAGTGACAGGGGACGCACGGACACACAGAACCTGCCAGTGACAGGGGACACACGGACACATAGCCTGTCTGTGACAGGGGACACACAGACACACTGCCCGTCAGTGCCAGGGGACACACGGACACACACAGCCTGCCAGGGACAGGGGACACACGGCACACACAGCCCGTCAGTGCCAGGGGACACACGGGCACACACAGCCCGTCAGTGCCAGGGGACTCACAGGGATGCATGGCGGGTACTCCCGAGCTCCCAAGGAGGTCCCAAGTCCCCCCTGGGATGATCCCACAGGACCAGCCCCAGGACACTCGCTGGGTCAGGTCTGAGGGGCCCTTCTGCCCACACTGCACCCACAGCAGTGCCAGGGATGGCTGCCCTGTGCCCCAGGACAGCAGGACAGCCACAGCAGCACCCCCACACTGCCCCCACCCCAGAGCCAGCACTGGAACCAGGACACCCCTGCATGAGCCCCCCATGGCCCTCCCAGCCCCGGGCGCTGCCCCAGGGCACAGAGCCCAGACCCCTCCTCAGCCACAGACAGACTGAGCGGGCTGGAATCACCCTGAATCACAGCCCCCTGAGCCCAGAGCTGCTGGAGCTGCTCACATGGCAGTGAGAGCACAGGCAGGGACAGCCCTTGCCTGGCAGTGAATCCATCACAGAGACCCCGGCATCAGCAGCTGGAATCAGGCCCAGCCCGGCACTGCCCCAGCACCCACAGCTGGGAAACCTGCTCTGCAAGGCACCTCTTTTATTTCTTTTCTTGGCTTCATTTCATTAAGATTAGACGGTAAATCTTCTCCCTGAGCGAAATATTTCATTTCCATCAAAGCCAGATTAGCTGCCAGATCCATGGCGCCCCTCACCCAGCCCTGGGGTTAACCTTTCACAGGGGGCAGGGGCAATCAGGGGCTGTGACCCTGTTTTGGGGAGCCATAACCTGGTGCTGCCCCTGGCATCCATCACAGGCTGGCATGGGATGCCATGGGATGATGCTCATCCATCTGGGGATGGCAGCACCGGCTCCAGCCTGGCTCTCCTCACTGGCACAGGCACTGCTGGGACAGGGACATGCTGGGGGGAACCTGCTGTGCCCCCCACAGCGGGGCTTGGGTCCGGAAGAAGATTTGGACACTTATTCAAATCCCCTCTGTGAGGGGAAGTAATCCTGCATAATTCCCCAGGGATGATGGCAGAGGGGATATCCGAGGCATTTGAGGTATTTCCACGGATCCTGCTGGGGGAAAGAATTTGCCTGAATTGTGGGTGGTGGGGGCTCATTTTGTGATTCAGTTTGGGGTGATGGGTCAGGCCTGGCTCGGTGCCATCCATCCCTGCCCAGCCCCAGCTGCTGGCACTCAGCTCCCCCCAGAATGCCCAGTGGGGACAGGACAGGCTGGCATGGGCACCTGGACAAGGTGACAGCGGGCAGCTGGCATCCCCTCTGCACCTGGCCCTGCAGGGCTCTGTGCCCGCTGTCCCCAGGTGTGCAGGGCTCTGGGGACCCAGAGCAGCCCCAGCATGGCAGGGGGACCCTGCATGGCCAGGGCACCAGCCACCCCCACCCTGCCACGGTGGGGCAGGGCACAGACCCCGCACGGGGACGTTGTTATGGAAACTGTAAAATCCTGCAATTGCTCTGATTAAACAGCAATTGGAAAGCTGGGCCCGGAGCGAGGCCAGATGGAGACCTGATTCCCTAATGGCCATGGTCTCAGCCTGGCTGTAATCCCAGCACGTGTCCCTGGGCCAGCCCAGCCCCAGCCCAGCCTCGCTGCCAGATCAGCTGGCACTGGGGCTCCAGAGGCGCCAGGCACCCCGAGCCCCAGCAGAGCATTGCCAGGGCACCCCGGGGCCGGTGACCATCCGCTGGCACCCCGCGCAGCCCATGGGCCCAGCAGAGACCCCCCAGCCCCCCAGTGCCAGGGCAGCTGGCAGGGCTGGCTGAGCCCTCACCCGCACCAGCTCTCACCCTGCAGAACCCAGATTATTTCTGGCCAGGCTTCTGGAGAATCTCCAGTGGCTCTGCAGCTAATCCCATCTCCCTTCCACATCACAGCCAGGAATGGGAGCCACATCCCCTGCTGCAGGCAGAGCCAGTGGGTTGGTTTGGTTTGGTTCGGTTTGGTTTGGTGGCCCCAGGGCAGCGTGGAGGTGTCCCCGCTACCTGATGCTGTCCATGAGGGGCTGGTGGCACTCGTGGGTGAGCAGCAGGCTCAGGGAGCCATGGTTTGGTTTGGGTTTGGTTGGTTTGGTTTGGTTTGGTTGGTTTGGTTCAGTTTCGTTTGGTTTGGTTTGGTTGGTTCAGTTTGGGTTGGTTTGGTTCAGTTTGGTTTGGTTTCATTTGGTTTGGTTTGGTTGGTTGGTTTGGTTTGGTGGCCCCAGGGCAGAGTGAAGGTGTCCCCGGTACCTGATGCTGTCCATGAGGGGCTGGCGGCACTCATGGGTGAGCAGCAGGCTCAGGGAGCCATGGTTTGGTTTGGTTTGGTTGGTTCAGTTTGGGTTGGTTTGGTTCAGTTTGGTTTGGTTTGGGTTGGTTCGGTTTGGTTTGGTTGGTTTGGTTCAGTTTGGGTTGGTTCGGTGGCCCCAGGGCAGTGTGGAGGGGTCCCCGGTACCTGATGCTGTCCATGAGGGGCCGGTGGCACTCGTGGGTGAGCAGCGGGCTCAGGCCGCGGGCCAGGCACTCCACGCTCCTCTGGGCCGCGTACTGCTTCAGCACCGCGAACAGCTTCTCCTTCAGCTGCGGCTGCTGCCCCAGGATGGCGTCCACCTGCAGGGGGACAGGGGAGCGAGGGGAGGGACACCGAGCAGGGGCACTGGCACACGGACAATGGGTCCCACTTGCTCAGCCAAGGCGGAGGGCACCACGCAGGGAGCAGAGGGACGCCTCAGGGGTCAGCCATCACACAGCTCTGCCCTGTTCCCACACACAGCCCTGGAACTGCTGCTTCAGACAGTCCACAGGAACAGGGGTGTGACCCCAAACTCCCAAACCCTGCTGGGATGGGATCGGCTGGAGCCTGCCTGGCAGAGGATGCTGCCATGGGCTTTTGGAGCTATTTAGGCTTTGTGCCTCACGCCCTGATCCCTCTGGGCAGCTCCGTCCTGCCCTTAGCCCCGGGAAGCTGCTGGGAATGGGGAGACAGAACATGAAGGTGAGTGCCAGCCCTGGAACCAGCACTGACAGCTCCCAGCCATGGCCCATCCTCTCCAGCTGGGGCAGAGTAATTAGCTAATTACCATCGAGCCAATTACCTACATGGAACCCTCCTTATTCACCTCCTCCCGCACTGGGCACTGGGAGCTGGTTCCTCACCTGGACCTCTCCAGTGGGACGCAGGAACTCCCTGTGACCCCCTCTCTGTACCTGTGAGTGCTGGGATTTCCTGCAAGTGATGTTTTTGTGCGGGTTTCACTGCAGGGTTTGCCTGCAGGAAGGGGAGAGGAGCCCCTCACCCTTCCCTGGGCACTGTGCAGGGCTCTGTGTGCACCCCTGTGGTGGCACTGCCAGGGAGCCACAGGCATCCCCTGCCAGGGGAAGGGGCAGAGCCATTTAGAGCCATTTTCCCAGGTGTTGTCCCACCTGCCCCTGGTGGGAGGGTGACAGTGGCACCAGGGTCCCAGCAGAGCCCCCCAGTGCTGCTGGCTCTGCACAGGCACTGCAGGGCTCCCGGCAGCAGCAGCAGCACTTCAAGGTTACCAAATCTGGGGCAGCACAGCAGCAGCGTCCCCTGGGCCGGCTCGTCAGCACGGCCCCCAGGCCCAGCACGGGACTGACACTCTGTGGTGCTCCTGGTGGGATGGATCCCAGAGGGCTGCTGTGGGATTCCCGCCTGGGCTGGCCTGGCATTGCAGGGCTTGGTGGGTGGGAATCGCAGAATCACAAATGGTTTCAGCTGGAAGAGACCTCCCAGATCCTCGAGTCCCAGCTGTGCCTGATCCCAACCTTCTCACCCAGCCCAGAGCCCTGAGTGCCACATCCCTGAGTGCCACATCCAGCAGGGATGGGGACTGCACCAGTACGGGGTGCTGCCAGGCCTCATGGGTTCCCTGAGCACACAGGGGATGAGAGAAGGCACTGCCCTGGAACTGGAACCCTGAGCACCTCCCTGGTGATGCCCCAGGATGTGGGACACTGGCACAGCCCTGCCCCAGGGCCATGGACACCACTGTCTGTCTGTCTGCCAGGCCATTCAGCCTGAGCTCCACCAAAGGAGGAGGCTGGGAAAAGGTGAGCCGTGGGCAGTGCAGTGTGAAACACAAACCAGCAGCACCCTCTGACCCTGCAGCCTGGCAGCGGGCGGGCAGCAGCGCCCAGGAGCTCACAGCACCGACCAGAGCTGGGATCCCGGGAAAGGAGGGAGTAAAACCACGCTGGCTTTAGTGTTTGCTACATCATACAGAAACTGAAGCCGCTTCAAATACTGCGCTGTGAATTCCCTCTGGAGAGAATCTGCCAGCTGAGCCGTGCTCCAGCAGCTCTGCCCTCCTGCTCCAGCAGCTCTGCCCTCCTGCTCCTGCCCACGCTGCTGCTGGGGCTGTCCCAGCTGCTTGTGGGGCTGGGGAGGGAGGGACAGAGGTGCTCATGGGGTGCTCACAGCACCACAACAGACTCGCTCTCCTGTGATCATCCAGGAATGTTTTACTCGGCTGAATGCGCCTTCAGAGGAGGCCCGGAACAACCGCCCCTCCCGGTTAATCTCCTGTAATCAGCAGGTATCTGTTTCCCACGCCCATGAATCCAAACCTCAGAGGGTATTCGTGAATCTTTAATGGAGACGCTGACTGAGGGGATTCGCCTGATACCCACAAATCTCTTTATGGAGGTCTTGTTCCTTCATTAACTTGGGATAAAAAAAAAAAAGCCCTACCAGCCTGGTTATTTTCATAGCAGCATTTTAAAAGGCTACTTTGAAATGGAAATTAGAAAGATTGAAAAAAAACAACTGTGATCAAATTTATAATTAGCACAAGGCGAGGTGTTTGCTAAAATACCCACTAGGAAGCTTTCAGGAGCACAATGAAGATGTAATCACATTGATGCTTTCCCCTTTTGCAACAAAATAAGAACTAAAATGTCTGCGGGGTGACAGGCTCAGACTTTGAAGGGACAGCCAGGGACCACCAGAGCAGGATCTGCCCTGTGGGTCTCTCCACGCTCTTGCAGAGCAAGGGAACAAGAGAACAAGGCCCCAGCCGTGTCCCCTCGCTGCAGCTGCAGCAGCACCAATCCCTGGTCATCCCCAGAGACTCCCCAAGCCCTTTGCAGCACCATCTCTTCTCCCAGGTAATTTCCAGACCCTTATCTCAGGTGATCACGCCCCACATGACCAAGCCGGGAGCATTCCCCATCCACATACCAAGGCTGGAGGTGGCAATCTCCAACTCTGCTTGGCACAGGGGGTGCCCAGTGCCCCAACCCCTTACCCACACCCCTCACCGGCCTCACCTTCCTGCTGAACTCCTGCGCCTTCTGCCCCCTTACCCACACCCCTCACCGGCCTCACCTTCCTGCTGAACTCCTGCGCCTTCTGCCTCCTGTCGCGGTGCGCGGGGCCGGCGCTGGGCCCGGTGTCCCCCATGTTATCTCCGGCGGTGTCCCCCGCGATGTCCCCCGTGATATCCCCGGCAATGTCCTCGGCAGCGTCCCCGGCACTGTCCCCAGCCGTGTCCCCTCGCCGCGGCCGCAGCAGCGCCAGGCGCAGGCACCGCCCGCGGCACGACCCCACGAGCAGGGCCGCGGCCTCGGGCACGGCCACCGGGGTCCCGTCCACCTCCAGCAGGAGATCGCCGGGCTCCAGCCCGCAGGCCGCGGCGGGGGACGCGGGGCTCACGCTGGCCACCCGCGGGGGGCTCTCGCTGCCCAGCTCGAAGCCGAAGCAGCCGCGGGGCCCCGGGGGGATGCTGGCCCGCTGCAGCCGGGACACCACGCCGATGCTGGGCGGCACGCTGCCGCAGCGCCGCGCCAGGGCCCGCAGCGCCTCCCGGCCCAGGCGGGACACGGGCTGCCCCTCCAGCTCCAGCACCTCGTCCCCGGGCCGCAGCCCCGCCCGCGCCGCGCTGCTGCCCTCCTGCACCCACAGGATGTAGCACGGGCCCGAGCCGCTTATCCCGAACCCGAACGACTCGGGCCAGCCCTGGTTGGTCGCCGGCATGGCTGCGACTGCAAAAGGAGGAGGGAAAGAGGGGAGTTGTGGTGGTTTTTCCGTCCTTAGGGGTCGTTCCTGTAGATGCCGCGTGGAGCCCATCGGGTGGGGGTTACAGTGTGTGCTGTGACCCTCTCACTGTGGGAAGAAACACCCCAAGAGCCTGTATTTCCTGTAAACTTCCTTAAAATAACAGCTTCTACTCTATCTGGCTGCTGGCGGGGCCATTGAGGAGGCCACGTTGGCTGGGAAGGTTGGGGCTACACGTGGCACTCAGATGTGACTGGCACAGCCCTGATCTCACCCGGGGCACCCACCTACCCCTTCCCCAGGAGCCTCACTTAGGCATCTTCTTGTATTTATTTGTCCATCAAAATGATTAGTTCATTTCTCTGACGTGCTACATTAATGTTATATTAATGTTACATCTCTAATGTTACATTAATGAATAGGTGATCCACGGACTTTAACCAGCTTGATTTTAACCAGCCCTTCTCAACACTCAGTATTTTAGCTGTTTGCAACTAGAAAATTACTGTAAATTAGAATTTGCCAGATCCTCTCAGCTCTCCCAGGACCATTTCTCTGTGCCCTCTCAGTCCCGTGTATGAGTTCTCCTGACAGCAGCATCCCGAAATGGCAGGATGATGGTTTTCAGCAGGACTTCTTTGTGGCTCACGTGAAGGGTTTGGCCTGGCTCCAGGCTGCCCAAGGAGAAAGGGGCACAGCAGCCCTGAACATCTGCAGGAGCTGCCTTTGCCCGAGGTAACCAGCCCAGCTGATGGGCACAGTGCCCTCGGATGCCCTTTCCAAGCTGTGCTGTCCGGATGACCCTGCCAGGGTCCCTTCCAGCCTCCCTTTCCGTGACTCTGTGATGTGTGAGTGCCTGCACTGTCCGCTGACACTCACTAGAGTAATTCACATGGGGTTTTCCTCTGGGGTTGATCTCAGCTGTCTGTGAAGACGCTTTTTACCCCCGTGTTTATTCCATCTGTGTCACTGAACGCACATTAAGCACTCACAAAAATGAAACTCAGACAATTTTACCCGGGCAAAAATGAAACTCAGTCAATTTTACCCGGGCAAATCACCCTACAGAGACCATGAGACTCAGAGGGGAAGAGCTGAGGGTGAAACTCGGGACAGCAGCGGGATGAAACCCATCTGTGCCCAAACCCCAGGGGCTGCTGAGCACGGGTTCTGAGCGCTCCAGCGGGAGCCCAGCGAGCCCTGGGCCGGTCCCAGCGCTGCTGCTGCGGGCTGTGCTGCAGGGAAAAGCCTGCCAGACCAGTGTGAGCTGCTCCCTGCACCTCTGTTCCTACTCTGGACAATTTCTACTCTGTCTCACGTCTCCGCCCCGGGCCCAGCACTTACAGAATTCCGCGGCCATCGGGGGCTCTCAGCGGCGGCGGCTCCGTCACGCCGGGGGCTCGCAGCTCTCCTGACTCTCCTCCATCACCCCTGGAAGCGCTTCCCATGTACCCGCAGCGCTCCTGGGAGCATCCTCCCGGTTCCCCGTGCTCCCCGGGGCTGGGCCCGCTCCGGGGCTGCCGTGGCACCGGGACACAGCGGGCAGGGGTGGCCGCCCCTTCCCGGCCTTCTCACGGCAGCCCCGAGCCCTTCCAGCGGCTCCAGCTCAGCCACACACACGCACTGAGCTCCTTCTGGCCTCTTCCTTTCCTAATTAACCTTATCTCCATCGCACAGAGGAGCGCGGGCACACTAATTGCCGCGCTCGTCCTGGCTGAGCCTGGCGCTGACCTGAGCCTGCAGATCTGGGTGGAATTAGGAGCTGGAAGGAAGGAAAACAGATTAGTGTCCGTGGAGGGAAATCCTTCAGGCACGGGGCAAATGCGGAGCGACAGCGCCGTGCGGAGCAGGGGACAGCGCCGGGGACACCGGGGCGAGCCGGGACCTGGGCACAGGTGAGTGACACACCGAGGTTTGGGGACTGCACGTGGTTTGCTGCAGCAATTTGGGGGTCGAGGGCTTTGGGGCTCACCAGGAGAGCCGTCCCCAGCCGGGCTGCTCCTTAGGGTCATGGCAGGGGGAGCAGCCGAGCCCCGTTTGGCCGCAGAGCCCCCCACGCTGGCACCGACTGTCCCTTAAGCTGCTATTTCTGATTTTCTCCCCGGCTTCCTCGGCACTGAGGGATCCCAGGGCTTAGCCCGTTAAGAGGTTTTAGGGAATTACACGTCCTGCTGCGGCACCGGCGGGAGGGGCGGCTGCATCTCTGCATGGAGCGCTCTGTGATCGGCCTCCCCTCGGCTCCGGCACGGGCTGTGCTGCTGGCACTGATGGATGGGCTGGGAAAACCTCCCTGGACAGCTGGCACGGCTGGCACGGGGCTGGGCACAGCCTGGGCAAGGAGAGCTGTAGGGTTTTCCTCCTGCTCAGGACCTCTGTGGTCATGTCACTGCTTCAGGGGATTGAAACCCACTTCTTCCTGCTCTCCCTGCTCCCCCTGCTCTCTGCAGCTCCTTTCTGGCAGGTTCTCCTGCACAAATCTCCTGAGCATCAATCCCAGGGCCTTGGGGCATCTGTCCTCCCATACTGACACTGACACACACAACTCCTACCAGCTCAGGCATCTCTGTTACTATTCCCTGCCCCAACAGTCAAAACCGCAATTAATTCCCCTTTTTTGTTGTTGTTCAGCCAGTGAGGTAATTGCTTCTTTCCCCTCCATTTTTAACTGACTTGAGCACTTTAAACACTGACAGTGAATGTTAATCCTTCAAAGAGCTGAGTTCTGGGATCCCAAGTGAATGGATGTGCCTTCCATTAAGACCTTCTGCCAGACTTTGGCCAGATGAGACTTTCTAAGTGATTTTCACAGTGCTTGGACTGAATGAGCTCCATCCCTCTGAGTCCCAGCCTCTGCCCAGCTGTTTGCTGGCTGGCTGTCCTTGAGCACAGCCTGTCAGGGCACCAAGAGGGGCACAGCTCCCCTGCCAGTCCCAATGTGGTTGCTGTCCCTGCAGCTCCTGTCCTGGCTGTGGCACACACAGACCCTGCCTGTCCCCCACAAATAAACCCCCTTGTGCCCACCCCAGCCCCTCCTGTGCCACCAGGCTTGCCAGGTGACATCCAGTTTCTGCACCTGCAGAAATTCTGCTGTCTCTGTAGGATGGGGAAATGGCTTTTTCCCTCCATCCTCCATCAGGACCCAAGTGCCTTGGGCTGCACTCCAGGACAGCTGTGCCCCGGGATTATTTTGGCTGCATTTCTCCCTCTCATGTCCTGTTTGGTGCATCGGGCTTACCAAGGGAAAAAAAAAGAGATTCTTCCTGAAACTCAAGCTTCTCTCCTGCCTCCCACCAAGACGATTCACCTGCTCTTTGGCCGAAGCCCCTGGAGCATCCCTGGAGGCTTACCTGTGCTGTCCGAGCTCCGGCCAGCGGCACAGCGGGACCCGGGGCTGGGCAAACCATCCCAGCAGCTCGGGAGCCGGTGGATCGGCGGCACGGCCGGCCCCGGACGGGTTTCTCTGGCAAGTTCCAGGCAGGCCCCGTAACCCAATCGGCCCCGGCGGTTTCAGTTGTCACACAACAGCTCGGAGGGCCGGGCTGGGCTCGGCATCCCGCGTGTTCCCGGCTCAGCCCGGCCCCGGTGGCACCGGCAGTGCGGGGACACCTGGGGCACGGTGGGACCGGGGGGATCGGGGCTACCGGGGAATGTGCGCTCACAGCTCGGGGAAAGCACGGGAAATTTATTTTAGAGACTTCACCAAAGGCCACAAGCCTGCCGGAATTTCTGGCGATGGCTGAGGAATGGCACAGGACGGGTGAGAGCAGCGGCAGGACGGAGGCAGCATCAGCCCGCACGGTACCGATCCGCCGGGACCGCGGCGGTGCCGGGGTTCCTGCGCTGATTTCAGCGATGGCGCTACCGCTTTACCGCCGTGCCCCGCTCCCCGCCGGGCCGGAGGCGCTGCCGGGGCCGCCGAGGCACCGGAGGGCGCTGGAACCGCCGCCAACCCCGAGCGGCGCCGCTTCCGCCGGGCGCGGCTGCTCCGGGCCGGCCCCGGGGACCCCGGGACTGCGGCACCGCCAGGGAAGGGAACGGGGCCGGGAGGGGCTGGGGAACCCCTGAGGGGCTGGGCAGGGGCTGCAGAATCCCTGAGGGAGCTGGGAAGGGGCTGGGGAACCCCTGAGGAGCTGGGAAGGGGATGGGGAATCCCTGAGGAGCTGGGAAGGGGCTCAGGCTGGAGCAAAGGAGGGATCTTTTCCCTCTCTGGAGTTCCCTGCCAGGAAGGCACAGCCGGGGATGTCGGGCTGTGCTCCAGGCAACAGGGACAGGAGCAGAGGGAACGGCCCCAGGGGAGCTCAGGGTGGGCGCCAGCAGGAATTTCCCCGTGGAAAGGGGGCTCAGGGATTGGCAGTGCTCAGGGAGGTTTGCAGTGCCCATCCCTGGAGGTGTCCCAGGAATTCCTTAGTGCCCTGGGCTGGGGACAAGGTGGGCATCGGGCACAGCTGGGACTCCATGGGCTGGGAGGGCTTTTCCAGCCTAAAGGATTTGGGGATTCTGTGTTTCTGCCCTCGCAGGGATACATAAAGCTGCCCTCAGTGCTGGGTGATACTGGAGGGGCTGCTCCATCCCTGGGCTCAGGGAATGCCAGGCTCTGCTGCAGGATGGCACCCAAGGGTCCAACAATGGTTCCTCTCCATCCCTGGGCTCAGGGAATGCCAGGCTGTGCTGCAGGATGGCACCCAAGGGTCCAACAATGGTTCCTCTCCATCCCTGGGCTCAGGGAATGCCAGGCTGTGCTGCAGGATGGCACCCAGGGGTCCAACAATGGTTCCTCTCCATCCCTGGGCTCAGGGAATGCCAGACCCTGCTGCAGGATGGCACCCAAGGGTCCAACAATGGTTCCTCTCCATCCCTGGGCTCAGGGAATGCCAGACCCTGCTGCAGGATGGCACCCAAGGGTCCAACAATGGTTCCTCTCCATCCCTGGGCTCAGGGAATGCCAGACCCTGCTGCAGGATGGCACCCAAGGGTCCAACAGCCACTCCTCTCCATCCCTGGGCTCAGGGAATGCCAGGCTGTGCTGCAGGATGGCACCCAGGGGTCCAACAATGGTTCCTCTCCATCCCTGGGCTCAGGGAATGCCAGGCTGTGCTGCAGGATGGCACCCAGGGGTCCAACAGCCTCTCCCTTCCGTTGCAGGGCTCGGGATGGATTTCCTGACGCTGTTCCTGCTGTACCTGTGCTCCGTGCTGGCCGTGGCTGCCCTGCTGTGCCTGAGCTCGGGAAGGCAGGAGAGCTTCCTCACCAGGAGTGTCACCAGGGCCAGCCAGGTACAGCCCTGCGCTGCCAGGGGAACCAGCAGCTGCCCTGCTGGCAACCTGCCCTGCTTTGTGCGCTAAAATTAGGGCAACTGCTGTATTTGTTATCAAAAAAAAAAACCAACAAAAGCCAGCGTGTGTGGTCAGAGTGATAATATGTTTCATCCTGCTTTAATGCCTGCTCTCAAGGAAGTGAGATAGGAAGTAGAAATACGCTTCTCTGAGATGGTTCAATCCTGCCCAAGCAGGTTGTAAAATTCATTTGGGTCTCCCAGCCCTGCCCGAGCCTGTCTGGGGTGAGGTTGGAGCTTCCCACCATGCCAGAAGTGCCTTCCTCACTAACACCACAACACATCTCAGAAAAATTAAATAAGAATCGGGCCCCAGGGATTTGCAGTTTTGTGGTGTTGCTGCTGTCATCAAGAGGAAAAAGGTGGGGGAGGTTTGAGGATTAAAATAGGGAGAGAATTATAAGTGGTGGCAGATATTTGAGGGAAAGCTCTTTAATATGTGTACTAATGCTGCAGGCTCTTGTTCACTAAGAAAGAAGCAGGAATGAAGAGCTTTAAAAGAGGATTAAGAATTGGCATTTTATTGTAAAAACGGGGAATTGGGAAAGCACCAGTTCATTTTTCTGTCTGTTGGGCTGTGTCTGAATGAAAAGGGGAAAAAAATGCTGTAATATTTTTGGAAGGTAAAGGATGAGAAAATTATCACTTAAATTGAAAACTATGTTTAATGCTGTTCACAGGAGTTCAGACAGACTTTTTTTTATTACTGGCATTATACTTCCTTTTGGTTTATAGACACACTGTGCAGAGAAATTGATTTTTTTCCCCCATATCTTAATAGCTGCTGCTATGGAGTGTTTAAACAGCAGCAATTAAATTACTGCTGCGGTATGAAGCCACTGTCTGGGGGAATCCAATCAATACTTGTGCCTGGGAAATAAATACATATGAATGTAATCAATATTCTACCTGGAATATGAATACAGGCAATGTTAAATGTAAGGTCACAATAGAAGATAAATGATTTTAGATAAGGAGCAATAGAATGCAAACCCCAGAGTATCAGAAGGGTCTGAAGATCTTAGAGAGCATCCAGAAAATGGACATGGGGTGGTGAAGGGCCTGGAGGAGCAGCTGAGGGCATTAGGCTGCAGAGTGCTGAGGTTTTCTGCAGGTTCATTCTGCTGGGTTGTGTTTCATTTTACAGCACACTTGGGAAAAAAACCTTCTTTTTGCAAACACTCGTCCCTCGAGCCGCCGAGCTGAGACGCACCAGTTCACACCAAAATATTTAGCATCTTCTCAGCTCCACATATGCTTTTTGCCTCCTGGTCTTTCACATCTGAGGCAAGAAGCTCTCACTGCATATTTTCCCTCTGTGTCAGCTCGAAATAGGCGCAGCCTCTCTAATTGCTGTGTTGCTATAGAGATGTGTCAGCTCAGAGCAGGCAATTCCTGCTATAGAGATCTGTCAGAGCAGGCAATTCCTGCTACAGAGATGTGTCAGCTCAGAGCAGGCAATTCCTGCTACAGAGATCTGTCAGAGCAGGCAATTCCTGCTATAGAGATCTGTCAGAGCAGGCAATTCCTGCTACAGAGATCTGTCAGCTCAGAGCAGGCAATTCCTGCTATAGAGATCTGTCAGAGCAGGCAATTCCTGCTACAGAGATCTGTCAGCTCAGAGCAGGCAATTCCTGCTATAGAGATCTGTCAGAGCAGGCAATTCCTGCTACAGAGATCTGTCAGCTCAGAGCAGGCAATTCCTGCTATAGAGATCTGTCAGAGCAGACAATTCCTGCTATAGAGATCTGTCAGCTCAGAGCAGGCAATTCCTGCTACAGAGATCTGTCAGAGCAGGCAATTCCTGCTACAGAGATCTGTCAGAGCAGGCAATTCCTGCTATAGAGATCTGTCAGCTCAGAGCAGGCAATTCCTGCTATAGAGATCTGTCAGAGCAGGCAATTCCTGCTATAGAGATCTGTCAGCTCAGAGCAGGCAATTCCTGCTATAGAGATCTGTCAGAGCAGGCAATTCCTGCTACAGAGATCTGTCAGCTCAGAGCAGGCAATTCCTGCTACAGAGATCTGTCAGAGCAGGCAATTCCTGCTATAGAGATCTGTCAGCTCAGAGCAGGCAATTCCTGCTACAGAGATCTGTCAGAGCAGGCAATTCCTGCTACAGAGATCTGTCAGAGCAGGCAATTCCTGCTACAGAGATCTGTCAGAGCAGGCAATTCCTGCTATAGAGATCTGTCAGCTCAGAGCAGGCAATTCCTGCTACAGAGATCTGTCAGAGCAGACAATTCCTGCTACAGAGATCTGTCAGAGCAGGCAATTCCTGCTATAGAGATCTGTCAGCTCAGAGCAGGCAATTCCTGCTACAGAGATCTGTCAGAGCAGGCAATTCCTGCTATAGAGATCTGTCAGCTCAGAGCAGGCAATTCCTGCTATAGAGATCTGTCAGAGCAGACAATTCCTGCTATAGAGATCTGTCAGAGCAGGCAATTCCTGCTATAGAGATCTGTCAGAGCAGACAATTCCTGCTATAGAGATCTGTCAGAGCAGGCAATTCCTGCTATAGAGATCTGTCAGCTCAGAGCAGGCAATTCCTGCTATAGAGATCTGTCAGAGCAGGCAATTCCTGCTATAGAGATCTGTCAGCTCAGAGCAGGCAATTCCTGCTATAGAGATCTGTCAGAGCAGGCAATTCCTGCTACAGAGATCTGTCAGCTCAGAGCAGGCAATTCCTGCTACAGAGATCTGTCAGAGCAGGCAATTCCTGCTATAGAGATCTGTCAGAGCAGGCAATTCCTGCTACAGAGATCTGTCAGCTCAGAGCAGGCAATTCCTGCTATAGAGATCTGTCAGAGCAGGCAATTCCTGCTACAGAGATCTGTCAGCTCAGAGCAGGCAATTCCTGCTACAGAGATCTGTCAGAGCAGGCAATTCCTGCTATAGAGATCTGTCAGAGCAGGCAATTCCTGCTACAGAGATCTGTCAGCTCAGAGCAGGCAATTCCTGCTACAGAGATCTGTCAGCTCAGAGCAGGCAATTCCCGCTATAGAGATCTGTCAGAGCAGGCAATTCCTGCTACAGAGATCTGTCAGCTCAGAGCAGGCAATTCCTGCTACAGAGATCTGTCAGAGCAGGCAATTCCTGCTATAGAGATCTGTCAGAGCAGGCAATTCCTCAGGCAGAGCCCTGCCTGTGGGACTCCCTCCATGAGCAGGGCAGCTCTTCCTTCAGTTGTGCTTGAAAGGACAATTAGACACAGAGCCACGCAGCTGCACAAACTGCATTTTTGGGGGTTTGGCTGGCTCGTGGGGCTTTTTCCCCTCTCTTTCCTGGAGGACACAAGCTTTATCCCTTTGCTTATCTCCCCCCCGATCTGTCAGATGGGCTGATGGAGCATATTGTAGCTGGGGAATTGCTCAGTTCTATCCCCTGCTTAACCCAGCCCCTCCCCACACCCAGCCTAAGCTCCTTAGAACTTTCACACATTAACCCAGATATGTTTGTTTGGGCCTGGGGGGAGTGTGGAACCCCTGTGGAAAACCCCGGCAGCATTCCTGCCTCTCTTCCTCCTTCATGGAGAGGGGGCTCAGGAATGGGACCTGCCCAGGGAGGTTTGGGGTCCCCATCCCTGGGGGTGTCCCAGGAACACCTGGGGGTGGCACCCAGAGCTCTGGGCTGGGACAGGGTGGGCACTGGGCACAGGTTGGGCTCGAGGAGCTTGAAGGGCTTGTGCAGCCTTCTGTGATTCTGTGTCTTATGGCTGGGCTTCGTGGTCTTGAAGGTCTCTCCCACCACTGATTCTCCTGAAAAGGAGCCTCCTCCCCAGTGCTGGGGCTGTGCAGGTCCTGAGCTGAGGGAGGAGGGACTTAGACTTCAATCTGAGCCTGCCCCGAGGCAGCAGTGATGGCCAGGTAACATTCCCTGCCATTTCCTACATTCCCTGCCATTTCCTTCATTTCCTCAGGTGCTGTCACTGGTGATCCCCAGCCAGCTGCAGAGGGTGGCACAGCGGGCACTGCACAGGCTCTTCCACACAAGGTATTGCACTTTCATGCCTTTGGAATTATTTTCTACTCTTATTTCTGGCTACTGTCGGGATCTCCTGCCACCATCAGAGCTCTAATATTATCCTTAGGTGTTCTGTCTCCATTTGGGATGCCTGCCAGGATTCCAGGCTCCCTTTGAGGTTTGCCACGCTGCTGGCTCTGCCTTCCTCGCTCGTTGTTTGGAGGGTGGAGCCCTGAAATGTTGGAACGTATTGACAAACGTTGATAATGTGGCTCAGGAACAGATGTTGGTCCCACTGGTGGGATCCTGCATCCCACAGGAATCACCACAGCCTCTGTGGCAGCTGCAGATGGAGCCAGACAGACTCGTCTCCATCCTCTGCCTCCAATCCCATTAGTGCCAGCCCAGCAGGCTGGCTGTCCAGGTGGCTGGGGGGAAGCTGCAGAGCAGCCTGCTGGCTTCAGGTGCATTCTGTGTGTCTGTGAACTCGGGTGCCTCAGGAAGGGTTTAAACACCTTTTCTCTGGGGACAGCAGCTCGCTGTGCCAGGGACTGCAGGGCTGCAGGGCTGCAGCCGTGCTGGGAGTGCTGGGCTGGCTTTGTGCCTGTTCTGCTGATGCCCTGCTCTAACACAGCCTGAGACAGAGAGGTGGCACTGCCAGGGGTGCTGGGGGCACTGGGATTCTCCACATACCCTGGAGCTGGTGCTCACTGCCCACCTCCTGCCACCCTTACTTCCCACCAGCCATTATTGCAGAGTTTTTAAGATTATTTTCTTTGCTTTCAGAGCAGCAAATGCCTTCTGGCAGAATGTTTTGTGGCCTATTGCTGTGGCATATTTTGTCAGCAGCAAGTGATTATAGGACTTTGTACTGACAGGGGAAAAAATCCAAAGTACATGTGAATAAAGCAGGGAATTGAGCTGACATATTTAAAGGAGCATATGTGGGAAGAAGAGAAGGAGAAGGCAGTGGATGGAGAAAACACTATTAATATGCAATCCAAGCTGGCCTGAAAACCTAAAAGAGGTGTCTCCTTGCATTTGGGAAGTCTTTGATCACCTCTGGGTGTACTTGACCTGTTAATCAGGATGCTGGGTATTAACTGTCCCCTCTGCTGGCAGGAGCTGTTTGTTTGTGGTGCTGCACGTGGCCCTGCAGGCTGCAGTGTTTGGGGAGTACACCTGGGAGGTGTTTGTGTACTGCTGGGAGCTGCAGTTCCACCTGCTGCTGCTGCTGCTGCCCTACCTGCTGCTGGCTGGCAACCTGGGCTGCCTCCTGCTCTGCTCCCGGGCCAACCCTGGTGAGATCACACCCTGCTCCCTGAAAACACGAAAATGCTGCAAATCCCATGGTTCAGTTCTTTTTCCTGTCTCTTTGGCAGGTACAGTGACCAAATCCAACGCTGCATCCCTGGCTAAGGTTTATGCCTACGATGGGGTGTTGTTCCAGAGAGGCCTCGTGTGTCCCACGTGCACCCTGGAGAAACCAGCCAGGTCCAAGCACTGCAGTAAGGATCTGAGATTCCTTGATAACCATGGCACTAAGAGCTTCCCAAAGGAGTTCTGCCCCGGGAGCTGCAGTTCCCACCGCAGCTGTTCTGTTACCAGCTCAGGGCTCACAGGGCTGGGTTTGTGTTCCCGGGGCCCCAGGTCACAGCTGCATTTGCCCATCCCTGGAGCTGGTTGGGTGCTGTTGCTTCTCACAGAAATTACCAGTTCCGAGGGATAATTCAGGGCCAGGAACAGCTGATGACAGAAATTGTCACCTGTCAGGACCTCAGATCAGGATTTTCTGTTTCACAGTCACAGAACCCTGTACCGGTTTGGGCTGGAGGGATCTTTAAAGCCCATCTCATGTCACCCCCCACACCTTCCACTAGCCCAGGGTGCTGCAAGCCCTGCGAGCTGACTGGAACCCTGCCAGGGATGAGAAGCCCACCACCTCTTTTTATCATCTAAAATAAAGGTGGGAGCCCCAATCTCTGCCTTTCAGGTGCTTTGCCAGGCAGTACTGTCAGAGAAACCAAAGCCTTGGAGCTGCAGTCTTGGTGAATAAAAGAGGAAATGGAATATGTTGTTTTGCTTAGGATCCACAATTGAATTTATTTGCTTCAAAAGCTGCCAGCTAAACCCTGACTGCAACTCCCACATATTTCCAGCTTAAAAAACACCTAAAGATCCATCTGCTTACTTAAAAACAAAGAGCCAAGAGCTCAGAATCTCTGCTGGTCACAGTGACTCTGAGATATGTACAAGCCTCTTTCTCCAGTCTGGCAGTTGAAGGAGTCAGGATTCCTTTGTTCTCCTTCTCAAGGTTGTTTATTTGCTGTTATCTATAACATTCTTTCCCTGGCCTGCTGAGGTCTGTCTGGCAGGTCGGGTTGAGGTACACTGGTGTCATCTTTTATACTAAAAACTATGTGTGCATTATTTACCATAACTTCCCAATACCTATCACCTATGTTAGACAGTGAGCTTCTCCCTTAAACCAATCCAAAAGTGCCAGCATCACCCAGAACATGGAGGCTAGGATGGAGAAAGAAGGAGGACAGGGCACGCCCAAATTCCTCCATCTTGGCACCCTGAGCCCCCATTCTAAAAACCTCAAAAATCTGTTTTTCACCCCGTGACACACTAACTATTATTCTACTTAAACTTTCTTGACTTTAATTCTTTATATAAAGGTGGTAATTTTCTCCATGGGTCAAGATCAAAGGCACAGGGGTCTGGGGCTCTGTGCCAGGGTCTCTGAGATCCCCGGGCAGGGGCTGGAGCCCTCCAGGGCACTCAGAGGAGTTCCTGGGTTCCGACCCCGAGGCTCTCGTTTTGCCCCTGCCTCCTGGAGGCGTGTGCAGGACGTGCGTGCACCGCTTCGACCACCACTGCGTGTGGGTGAACAACTGCATCGGGGCTGGCAACGCGGGGCTGTTCCTGCTCTACCTGCTGTCCCTGACGGCCACCGCGGCCGCCGTGGCTGCTGTCACCGCCGCCCTGCTCGCGCACCTGCTGCTGCTCTCCAACGCCCTGCACGGCACCTACCTGGATGCCCAGGGCCAGGAGCAGCCCGTGGGGATCCCCCTCCTCGTCCAGGTCAGTGCTGTGCAGCGTTCTGGATGGAACTCTGCTGTCAGGAACCGCGTCCTGTTCCTCCAGCATGGAGACAGACTGCAGGGTTGGGGACAGACTGCAGGGTTTGGGGACAGACTGCAGGGTTTGGGGACAGACTGCAGGGTTTGGGGCAGACTGCAGGGTTTGGGGCAGACTGCAGGGTTTTGGGGACAGGCTGCAGGGTTTGGGGCAGACTGCAGGGTTTGGGGCAGACTGCAGGGTTTGGGGACAGGCTGCAGGGTTTGGGGCAGACTTCAGGGTTGGGGACAGACTGCAGGGTTTGGGACAGACTGCAGGGTTGGGGACAGGCTGCAGGGTTTGGGGACAGGCTGCAGGGTTTGGGGCAGACTGCAGGGTTTGGGGACAGGCTGCAGGGTTTGGGGCAGACTGCAGGGTTTGGGGCAGACTGCAGGGTTTGGGGACAGACTGCAATGTTTTGGGGACAGGCTGCAGGGTTTGGGGACAGGCTGCAGGGTTTGGGGACAGGCTGCAGGGTTTTGGGAAGACTGCAAGGTATTGGGGCAGACTGCAGCTGTTTTATACATATAAGTAGATTTAGAAAGCTGCCACTGCTGAATACTTTAGAAATGGGGGGTTTTGCTCACAGCACTTCCCATCCTACAGGCTCCTTTCTCTGGGATGTGTCACTCAGTTTATACATGGTTCATAGAGAAGGAATTTCCATCCCAGTGACTAGCTGATGTAGTAAGGGTTAGGAAACAGCTGAGAGTCCCTGAGGTACCTTTGTGGAGGTGCTAAAGCAGGACAACACCCATGGAATGCAGTTACAGTTCCACCTGCACATGGGTGTGCATTCCAGCTGGGGCTGTGCAGTGCCCATGGGATTCAAACCCATGTTTTAATTTACTTTTCTCTTTCTCTGCAGCACCTTTTCTTGACTTTCCCCAGGATTGTCTTCATGCTGGGGTTTGTCATCCTGCTCACCCTGGTGCTGGGGGGATACTGCTCCTTCAGTCTGTATTTGGCCCTCACCAACCAGACCACCAACGAATGGTGCAAATCCCGAAGATTTGGGGGCTCCCCCCCTGTCCCCTCACAGCCTCATGACAGACCCCTCGTCTACAGAAACATTTATTCCAAAGGGATCTGGAGGAACTTAAAGGAAATCTTTAGCCCTCCTACCACATTGGAAAGGAAGAAGAAAACATGAAGATATTCTTGTTTCTCTGGGCATTTTTAAATGTTTTCTCAGACTTCAGTTCAGCAGTGGGCTTGGCTGCCCCAGGCAGATTGTGGAACAAGATTCTGGAACTGCAGATTTGGAACAAGATTACTCAGAATTCACATTTTGGTGCCTCATTGGAGCTCCCTCCCTCAGTGGGACTCAGGGCCAGCTCAGGCCTGGTCTCTGAAACAGGGATTTGGTTCATCTTCCCAAAGTGAATCTTTCTCTCTGAGAAGGGCTAACACAGAGCTCCTGTGAATTTTGAGGAAGCAGCATCTTTTTGTATCTTACTTTGGGAAACAATTAACCCATGACTGTTAACAATGACTACAATAGGCTGTGTGTATTTAGCTGAAAGAATCATTTCTGGCAGGATCTTACCTGCAGAAACCATGTCCTGCTGCAGCTTTGGAGCACTAACTTCAGGAAGGAAATTAAAGTGTCCCTGTTCACCTCTCCTTCCAGAAATTCTTCTGAGTATAATAGAAGAGAAATTGGAAAAAAATGTAGTAAGAACTTTAAATAACTTTATTTTTAAAAATGTATTTATTTACATGCCCAATCTGTACAATATGCAAAAAATCCAAATATGGTTTAAAAAAAACCAAATTCCTATACAATATGGCTTTCCAGCCCCCAGGCTGGCTCTCAGAGCAGCCTGGCTGGCATTGCAGGGTACAATGATGCATTCACAGACCAGTACATAAGGCTACTTGTCCAGGATACCAAAGAAAAGAGAAATACTGCAGTACCGTGCCTTGGGAGGCCTGAAGGAGTGAGGTTAAAGGCATGAGAGTGTTTCAGTGGTGCTCGACAAACACCACAACTCCTTAGGTTTGGTTTTCTCAACTTGTTTTAAATGCATATATTGAAATAATCCTTGTGAGACCCCACATACTTGCTACACTTTCTGAATCCTTTTAAAAGCCAGACCACTGCCGTCCCAGTGGTGGGCAGAGCGGGCTGATTCCCAAAGGATCTCCCTTCATTCGAGGCTGCTGTACAGAATACTGAGTGCCACTTGTGACCTGTCAGTCTCCTCAGCGTGGCCAGGCCAAGGCTTTAACTCCTGGAATTGGTTTTAGACTGAGAACACCTCGGACCTGCCCTGTCCTATCCCGTTTTAGACCTGCACTATCCCATTTTAGACCTGTCCTATCCCGTTTCAGGCCTCTCCCGTTTCAGACCTGCACTATCCCGTTTCAGACCTGTCTGGGGGCCTGCCCTCTCCCAGGAGCGTCGCCCTGGCTCTGTGAGCAGCCCCGGTGCCCAGGTGAGCACTCCCACCCCTCACACGATCACAGTCTGCACCTCCACGTCTCCCTCCTGCGAGGCGATGACGAACTCGCCGGCGTGCTCCATGATCTCGATGTCCTCGGACGCCACCATGGTGACGGTGGCCTCCTGCGCGGCCAGGCCGCCGTCGGCGGCCAGCACGGCGCCGTCGCCGATGGCCGAGGCCAGGGTCATGGCCACCTGCTCGGTGAGGCTCTCGGGGGTGGCGATGGTGATGGTGTCGGCGGCGTCGGCGCCCGCGCCGCCCTCGGCCACCGTCACGTTCTGCACGATGATCTGGTGGCCCGAGTTGGCCTGGTTCACGATCTGCTGCACCACCTTCATGATGTGGCTGTCCACCTGCCAGGGACAGGGGCTGCATTTACCGACAGAGTTCAGGGCAGTTATCACTGCTCGTGTCACCCCTGGGGCAGCGACAGGAGCAGCTCTGCTCCGGCTGTGCACCCCAGCGCAGACTCTGCAATGTGCCGCCCCTCCTGTCACCCGAGGACTGCCTTACCTCATGTCTTGTTCCCTCTATTATTTCAGTAGCCTCACTGGTCTCCATGTCTTCGGTAGAAGTCTGGAAGACAAAATAAGATTATTCCCTTTTGAGGTTCTTACAAAAAGAATTTTATCACCAAGATATAATTCACTAATCTTTTACACAAGTCTTTGTGCTCCCCTCACATGCAGTAGCTGCTCCAAAGACAACTCCTTGACATTCCCTCCCAATCCCATTATCAGGAACTACTTAAAATGAATGCACAATGTTCACAAATAGCTGAAAGAGAAAGTCCTCCCTCAGCAGGATTTGGCCACGCAGCAGATTTTTCTCTTACTGGAGAAGAACTACGGCAGCACTCAATAACTGAGCTGTGTTACCCTGCTGGGATGAGAGCTGGCTCTGTGTGACAGAGGGGAGAAAGTGAAATGCAGAATTCATTGCTTTTGGCAGCCTCTGTTAGAAACAACACAGATTATCTGGGACAAAGTAAGGTAGATAGAAATGGGAGAAAATAGGAGGGAAAGCTGAAGCAAGCTTGTGAGGACCTAAAATCTGGTGTGGTCAGAAGTTCTCAGGCTCAGCCTCCTGGCCCACACAGCACTTTGGGAGGGTGGGGAAGCTCCAAGTGCTTTCCCTCCAAACAAGGCTGATCCCACTGGCTCCTGGGGCCGTGCAGGCAGGGCAGGGCCTGTTTTACCTTCTCCCAAAAGCCTGGAGCAGGAACGTGAACAAGTGCAGAGTTTTCCCTGACCAAAGCCTGTGCTCAGTTCCCAGTGGGCAGGCTGGCTGCCCCTTCTCACCTCGATGATGTACTCCTGGGTGTCTGCCACCACTGAGGAGAACTCCACCAGAACCGTGTGCGGATCCTCCGAAAGGACCGCGGCTGCCAAGTTGTCAGCAGACTGGCTCTCCTCTGACACCATCACTTCTTCCACCTCCTTCATAGCAAGGAGGCAGCCACCTGCAGGGAATTCCAGAAAAACATCACTGTTGGTGTCCATCTCCAGTAGCAGCTGGAAGGTGCTAGGCAGCACCAGCAAGGGGATGCCATGGATGAGTGACCAGTGGCACTTGAGGGGCTCTTGGCCCACCAGGACAGGCCAAGGAACAGCCCAGGAGAGTCCCTGTGACACCAGGAGCAGAGCAGCTCTCCAGTGCAATTCCAAACATGGGTAAATTCAGGTGGTAAAACCACTCAGGGTTTTCAAGCCACGTGTGAAGAACATACAGGAAGAATTTGGGTATATTTTAAATCATTGATCTTTTCTGCTGATACATCTCAGTACCACCTACAAAAGTCCATTTTTTCCTCCAGTAAACTTGTAGTATTCCTTTAGAACAACACCGTCAGCACTACCTGAATAAATCTGGAAATCCCTGCTTAGGAGCTAAAGGAGCAGCAAGCCCAGTGCAACTAATCCCACCAAACCAGATTATTGCTGAGAACTTTACTCAGACATTTCCTTCCCAGAACATGCCCACTTCCATGTGAGTCATTAAATCCACAGAATGACCAGGTTGGAAGAGACCTTAAAGATCAGAGAGTCCAACCCATGTCCTACACCTCAACTAAACCATGGCACTGAGTGCCACATCCAGGCCTGTTTTAAACACATCCAGGGATGGTGACTCCACCACCTCCCAGGCAGGCCATTCCATTTCTTTCTGTAAAAATAATCTGATATCCAACCTGTATTTCCCTTGGTGCAGCTTAAGGTTGTGTGCTCTGGTTCTGTCAGTGGCTGAGATGCACCCTCAGCACCACTCCCAGCCTGCCCAGCTCAGGCTCAGGACAGCCGAGCCCTGCTCACCTTTGGTTCTGAAGTGCCTGCTGAGGGTGCCGTGCTCACCTTTGGTTCTGAGGTGCCTGTTGAGGGTGCCCTGCTCACCTTTGGTTCTGAGGTGCCTGTTGAGGGTGCCCTGCTCACCTTTGGTTCTGAGGTGCCTGCTGAGGGTGCCGTGCTCACCTTTGGTTCTGAGGTGCCTGTTGAGGGTGCCGTGCTCACCTTTGGTTCTGAGGTGCCTGTTGAGGGTGCCGTGCTCGGCGAAGCCGCGGCCGCACTTGTAGCACTTGAAGGGCTTCTCGCCGGTGTGGTGGCGGATGTGGCGCACCAGGGAGCCCTTCTCCCGGAACCCCCGGCTGCAGAACTGGCACACGTAGGGCTTGTCCTCCAGGTGGGTACGGAAATGCACCTGCTGGGCGTTCTGCACGCACAGGGAGGCAAGGCAAGCGCTCAGAAAGGACACGGCCAACTCACAGATGTGGGGCTTTGCTCCCAGGGTGCAACTCAGCATCTTTTATAGGATGATTTTCTTGGGTGGTGGTTTAGGAATGGAACTTCCCAAGCCAGTGCTCACACCATGACTCTCCAAACCATGAGGCACTCACTTGTTCCCCTCTCCCTCTCCCCATCCCCTCATAGTGGGCTGGAGAGAATTGGAGGCACAAAAGGTGAAGATCATAGACTGAGATAAGAACAATTTACAGAAACAGAAATAAGATAAAAAACCACTACTGGTGACAGAGAGTGTGCGAAAGAGGTGAGCAACTCACCTGCCCTGATAACAGACAGAAGGAACCCCTTACACTCATACCAGAATGTTCTAGACATGCATCCTCCTGGCTACTGCAAAAATGAACCTCATCCTGGCCAGAACCGGGACACATTACATATTTGTTCCACACAGGAAGGAATAGTTTCTTCAGAAATGTGATGGTTTTACAAAGACTGTTCTTTTGCCCACTAAACCAAAACGTCTTTCTGGAGTGTCAGCTCACAGAATCACTGAATAGCTTAGGTTAGAAAGAACCTTAAGGAACATCTTGTTCCACCCCCCTGCCATGGCAGGGACACCTTCCACTATCCCAGGCTGCTCCAAGTCCTGTCCAACCTGGCCTTGGACACTTGCAAGGATGGAGCAGCCCCAGCTTCTCTGAGCTATAAGAGACAGGTGAGCTCTTTGAGGAGCAAAGCCTCCTGCCCTGTGGCACGGCCTGGCTCTGGGGAGGCAGTGAGGGGTTTGGTGATGAGGGCTCACCTTTGTCTTGTAGCGCTTGCCGCACTTGGGGCAGGCGTAGGGCCGCTCGTCCGAGTGCACGCGCCGGTGCCCCTTGACGTGGGCGATGGTCTTGTAGAGCTTGCCACACTCCCCGCAGCGGAAGCGCCGCTCGTTCACGTGCACCTCCTGGTGCTTCTTCAGCAGGTAGCCCTTGGTGAACTCCTTGCCACACTCCTCGCACTTGAAAGGTTTGTACTCTAGAGGGACAGAGAGAAAAAGGTGCGGTCGATCAGGGTATCCTGCAGCACAAGGATGTGGTACGGGTGTAACTGAATTGTCACAAAAAGCAACCTGGAGAAGGGGAGGGATTGTATTGTCACCATGTGGGAGGGCTTTCACAGAACCCCAGAATAGCTGGGCTGCAAAGGGACCTCTGGAGATCATCCAGAGCAGCCCCTGGGCAGGCAGGGTCACCTGCAGCAGGTGACACAGGAACGTGTCCACGGCTCTGCCACCCTCATTGCAAAGAGGTTCTTCCTCATGTCAACATGGAACTTGTTGTGTTTTAATTTCTGGGCACTGCTCCTTGTGCTGATACCCCTGGGAGGGATTTGTATGGATTGATGGGATCCCCTCTCAGCCTTCCCTTCTCCAGACTGACCAGGCCCAGCTCCTGCAGTCTCTCCTCATCAGAGAAGCTGTACCCAGCTGAGGTCACTGAGCTTGTGTCACACAGCAGCCCCAGCAGCCCTTTACCTGTGTGACTCTTGCTGTGAGCTTCCAGGGCAGCAACTTCATTGAAGGCTTCATTACAGTGAGAGCAAACATAACGTTTGTACCCGTTGGTTCCTTCTGCAGGTGTCTGCTGGAGAGAAAATGGGAAAACTGCTTTTCTATTTTTGTACTGGTGCGTCCAGTTAGGATTGCTACCCAAATTCCCAATTAAACACTCCAGCTTGGACAGGAAAGAGATGTCTGTTGTGAAAGAGACAGCACATGTGTGAAGGAACATTTCCCTTAAATCACACCTGCACAATGTAACTCTAAAACCTGACACAAAGCCACAGGCGCAGGCAGACACACATGAGGACAACATGAGTACAACAGCTGCCCACAACCAAATACAGACAAGGAAAGTTAAAAAATTAATGTGCTGATGGAATACAAACATACAGACTCTGCTCCTTCCAGTTTAACACACTGCTCCACACACGGCTCCTCTTCTACTTCCATCCCTTTGTTCTCCAGCTCTTCTGGAGCAGCCGCCACAGGTTCATCCGGCTTCTGCACCTCCTCCAGAGCCACTCTCTCGATGACAATCCCCGAATTCCTCATGGCCTGCCTCAGCAGGTTCTCACTGTTCACTTCCCCCTCGCAGGGCAGCTCCTTGGGATGCGGCTGCTGCAGGAACAAAGAGAAGTTGGGCACAGCAAACCCACAGTGTCCTACAGCAACACTGCTGCGAGTGCCACTCTGTCTGGGTGTGCTGTGCTATGGGGCTGAAAGATCAGCCAGGGAATACCTTGGGCTGAGGAGAAGCACAAGGTGGATCTGTACTCTAACAACCCAAGGGATGACAAGCCCAGAGGAAACCAACCAAAGGAAGCCCTTCATTCCACACTCAGATTTACTGCCAGTACCCCAGACACCTCTGCTCTGAGGTGAAACGTTCTTTGTGTAAAACACACGGAGGGTGTTTGAATCAAACAACACTCACATCTGCCTCCAGGGGCTTTGCATCCACCACGGGCAGTCCCTGCATCTGCACATGGACCTCATGGAGCACGTTGCCTTTTGCATCTGTCACGAGGTGGATGACAGGGGAGGCCTCGATGGATTCGCTCGCTATGGAGGACACTGTGTCTGTGGTGGAGCTGCAGGGTCCTGCAAGAAATGAACCTGCAAGAAATGAAGGGGTGGGGAAATGCACCCCTCAGCAACTCCCTGTGCCCTAAAAATCTGCCTTAGAGCACAAGGCGCCTTTAACACCACCTTCATACCAGATTCTCAAACATTCTTGGGTTCACACCTGGCTGTGAGGTAATAACTTTACTCTATAAATTACTTTTTTCTGGTATAAAAAATATAAATTCAAAACCATGGGATTATTTCTTATCATGGAATGGTTTGGGTCGGAAGGGATCTCGCAGGTCATCCAGTTCCACCCCGTGCTATGGGCAGGGACACTTTCCACCATCTCAGGCTGCTCCAAGCCCCGTCCAACCTGGCCTTGGACACTGCCAGGGATCCAGGGGCAGGCACAGCTGCTCTGGGCACCTGTGCCAGAAGGAATTTCTATTCCCAGTGCTGTGAGGGTTTGGCTTCATCAGACAGGAGGCAGGTCCTGGCAGCACCACTGACCTGGTGGCAGATCATCTTTGTTGACAACTATTTCTTTGGTCATGTTGAAGCGGATTTTTTCAGTGCAAGGTGTCAGAGATTTAAGGTGCCGAGTCAAAGCTCCCGATTCCCGGAAGCTTTTCCCACATTTCTTGCATTTGTAAGGTCTTTCATCTGGAAATGACAAGAATCAAAACAACCATGTTAAAGCCAGCACTGTGTGGATCAGCTCTGTGTGACAGGCTGAAGAATATGTTCAGCTTTCTACAGCACATGGCTGTTCCTGTCCCAGAACCTTCCACTGCTTCCCAGTACCCCAAATGCTGAGGAGCTCAATGGTCTCAGCAAAACATGGGAGGCAACAAGGAATTCCACTGGAAGGCAAAAGGATAGCCACAGACAGCTCCAGCGACAAGGAGCTCTTATCTGGGAGAACTCTTACCCGTGTGCCGCCGATGGTGTCGGATCAGAGACCCCTTTGTCCTAAAGGAAGTTCCACAGAGTTTACACTCATAGTCCTTCTTGCTGCTGTGGGTGATCATGTGAGCTTTGAGGATGCTGGCCTAGGGAAAGAATTTCCAAATAGTTTAAAGATTTTACATTTTAGCTGTAAAGAACAACAAGGCTCCTTGTGAAGGCAGAACTTCCCTCTGGGAAGTGTGGCAGGCAGTAAAGCACACTGCTACTGAGTCTTGGGAGCTCTTAGTTCACAGCCAGCCTAAAAGGCTCCCTAGCCCACAGCAGCAGAGGGGATACTCACAGTTTTAAATGTCTTCTGGCACAGCTCACACACGTATCGCCCCTCCTTGTTCACCTGCAGCTTGACCTTGGTCAGCTCGCTGGAAACGTCCTGCTCCTCACTGACGTCCCCATCCACGTGGCCATTCGGGTTCTCAAACACATGGTCTCCTGCTACAATGACCTCTTTGATGTGCCCACTGCCTGGGAAAAGGTGGGGACACAGTTGGCTTCTTTACAGGACAACAAACCATCATCTACTGTCTCAGCATGCCATGCAGGAAGAAGGAGAAAAGATATTTTAAACCTGCCACTCGAGTCTTTGCAACCTTCTCATTATGGCAGCATAAAATGAGCACTTCTAGAACAGAGGTTAACACCTAATTTGTATTAATTAAGCCGAAGGAGAGTAGGTTTAGAATAGATATTGCAAAAGAATTGTTCCCTGTGAGGGTGGGCAGGCCCTGGCACAGGTGCCCAGAGCAGCTGTGGCTGCCCCTGGATCCCTGGCAGTGCCCAGGCCAGCCTGGACAGGGCTGGGAGCACCCTGGCACAGTGGAAGGTGTCCCTGCCATGGCAGGGGTGGCACTGGATGGGCTTTAGGGTCCCTCCCAACCCAGCCCATCCCATGACCATTCCATGAACCTGATGGGGGAGGATTGCAGAGCTGGCCCAGGGCTGCCCCCCAGAGATCTGCAGGAACAGTCCCAAATCCCAGTGACACAGAGGTGTCACCCACCCAACCACGACCCAAAGCCATCAGAAGAGGTCACAGATGAGGGAACAGCTACCAGACCCTCCGGGCACACCAAGGCACCCCAGAGCTCACCTACGATGGCCGAGGCGTCGCTGATCTCCTCTGCTATGGAAGATGCTTCGACAACAATGTGAGCAACAGTGATGGACTCCTCGACAGCAGGAACCACCTGCTGGCACAGAGCACCTTTCAGCAGGCAGGTCCTGCTTGCCTGAGCACGCTGCTCCCTCCCCTCCAACCCAACAGACCGTAGCATCCTAATAATTTCCAGCCCCGGCTGGGAGAGGCCGCGGTCACCTTTTGTCCTTCGTGGCCGAGGAGCCCGGCGAGCGGGTCGGGAGGGCGCTGGCAGCCCTTCTGCAGCTTGTGCTGCACGAACTCCTGCAGGGAGCTGAACTCCGACTGGCAGCGCCCGCACTTGTGCACGTCATCCTCGTCTGCGGGGAAAGCGCCGTCAGCGGGGCGGGACACGGGACAGGCCCGAGGCACCGGGCGCTCGGTGCATCCCCGCTCCCTGCCCCGGGATCCCGTCCCAGCAGCCCCCCAGCCCCTCCCGGCACCGGCATACACCGCCCGGCCCCGCCGCTCCGCCCGGGGGATGCGGGAGGGGAACGGGGAGACCCCGGCCGAGGCACACCGAGACCCGTCCGCCTCCCGCCCCGCTGGCGGCACCGGCCCGGCCCCCTCACCCAGCGGGCCGCGCCGCCCCCAGGCCTGGCAGCGCCGGCCGGGGCGCCGTGAGGGCGGTACCTTGCTCGCCGAAGGGCGGCTGGAGGCCGATGAGGGCGGCGGGGGGCGCGGGGGACCCGGAGCCCGCGGCGGCCGCGCCCCGGCCCGGCCCGGCCGCTTCTGCCGTAAGCGCCGCCGGCCCCGCGCCCGTTGCCATCGCGGCCCCCGTGTCGCAACGCGCCGCAAGATGGCGGCTTTACGGCCGTGTCGTCATAACAACGGGACGGGGCTCGGCGGGGAACGCGCCCGCCGCGCGGAGGTTCCGGGCGCCGGCGGGCGGTGTCGGAACACGGTCCCTCCGCTGCCCCCGGTGACCGCCGAGCCCCGAGCCCCGGCGGAGCAGAGCCCGAGCAGTTCCCGAGGAGTTACCGCGGAGTTGCCCAACGTGTTACCGAACGAGCGCCGGGGCGCCCTGGCCAATAGCGGCGCTCGGGGGGCGGGCCCTCGGGCCGGGCGGCCAATGAGCGTGCGGCGCGCCAGGCGCCATCGGCGGCGACGCGCGGGAGGACGGGGGGGGACACCGGGCGCCGGCTCCCGGCGGGGAGGGCGTGGCCGACGGCAGCGGCGCCCAATGGGGACGCGGTCCGTGCGGGGCGCGGCCAATAGGGAGGCGCGGGCGGCGGGCGCGGGGCGCGGCGCGGCCAATGCGGTGCGCGGGGCGCTCGGGCGCGGCGGCGCGGCCATGGCGGACGGGATGGCGGCGGGCGGTCCGCGGCGCTGCCGGCGGCTGGAGGGCGAGGCGGCGCGGGCCGCGCTCGCCAATGCCGACACGCTGCTCTTCGACTGCGACGGCGTCCTGTGGCGGGGCGAGGCGGCCGTGAGCGGCGCGGCGACGGCGCTGGAGCGGCTGGCGGCGGCGGGCAAGCGGCTGTGCTACGTGACCAACAACAGCGGGCGGACGCGCGCGGCCTACACCGAGAAGCTGCGGCGCCTGGGCTTCCCGCCCGCCGAGCCCCGGCACATCTTCAGCTCGGCCTTCTGCGCCGCCCGCTACCTGCGGCAGGCGCTGCCGCCCGGCGCCGCCGCCTACGTGCTGGGCAGCGCCGCGCTGGCCGCCGAGCTGGAGGCCGTGGGCATCCCGCACGTGGGCACCGGGCCCGCCGCCCTGCCCGGGCCCGCGCCCGCCGACTGGGTGCAGGCGCCGCTGGAGCCCGCCGTGCGCGCCGTGCTCGTGGGCTTCGACGAGCACTTCAGCTACGCCAAGCTGTGCCAGGCGCTGCGGTACCTCCTGCGCGGCGGCCCCGAGTGCCTCCTGGTCGGCACCAACCGCGACCACCGGCTGCCGCTCGAGGGCGGCGCCGGCATCCCCGGTGCGCGGGGCCGGGGGGCGGAGCGGGTGGGCCCGGGGAGGGGCGCTCTCCGTGCCTCGGTGTCGTGGTGGTAAAACGCAAAAGTTCCGGCTCAGCCTCGGGAAGGACCTTTTCCCTGGGGAGTGGCAGAGCCCTGGAGCAGCTGCCCTGGGAGGTCACGGAGACTCTGTCTCTGGAGATGTTCCAGACTCGCCTTGGCACATTCCTGTGTCACCGAATCCAGGTGGCCCTGCCTGGTGCGGGGGTGGGACTGGATGGTCTCCAGACGTCCTCTCCAGCTCCTGCTATCCTGGGATTCTTTGAGGTAGCCCGGGTGTCCCAGAGCGTTTCCTCCACAGCACCCCTGAAAGAGAGGGAATCCTTATTGATCCTTTAATTTTGGATAGGAGTTCTGGCTGCGGGACGGAATTCCCACCTCCTGGCAGGCTTTAAGCACCACCTCTCCTGGGACCCACCCGTCCCTCTGCCTCTAAAGCTGAGGTGTCCATTCCCAGTGACCTGAGCGGATTTCTCCTGGCTTGTGTGGGCGCCGAGAGCCTTCTGTCCCTAATCCCTCTGTATGATCCTGCAGGGACGGGGCGCCTGGTGAAGGCCGTGGTGATGCCCTCTGTCCCTAACCCCTCTCTCTGTGTTCCCCAGGGACAGGATGCCTGGGGAAGGCCGTGGACACTCTGTCTGTCCCTAATCCATCCCTCTGTCTGTTCCCCAGGGACAGGATGCCTGGGGAAGGCCATGGACACTCTGTCTGTCCCTAATCCATCCCTCTGTCTGTTCCCCAGGGACAGGATGCCTGGGGAAGGCCATGGACACTCTGTCTGTCCCTAATCCATCCCTCTGTCTGTTCCCCAGGGACAGGATGCCTGGTGAAGGCCGGGATGCCTGGGGAAGGCCGTGGACACTCTGTCTGTCCCTAACCCCTCTCTCTGTGTTCCCCAGGGACAGGATGCCTGGGGAAGGCCATGGACACTCTGTCTGTCCCTAACCCCTCTCTCTGTGTTCCCCAGGGACAGGATGCCTGGGGAAGGCCATGGACACTCTGTCTGTCCCTAATCCATCCCTCTGTCTGTTCCCCAGGGACAGGATGCCTGGGGAAGGCCATGGACGCTCTGTCTGTCCCTAACCCCTCTCTCTGTGTTCCCCAGGGACAGGATGCCTGGTGAAGGCCGGGATGCCTGGGGAAGGCCGTGGACACTCTGTCTGTCCCTAACCCCTCTCTCTGTGTTCCCCAGGGACAGGATGCCTGGTGAAGGCCGTGGAGACGGCGGCGCAGCGCGAGGCGTTCATCGTGGGCAAGCCCAACCGCTTCATGTTCGACTGCGTGGCGCAGGAGTTCCCGGTGGACCCCGCTCGCACCATCATGGTGGGGGACAGGCTGGACACGGACATCCTGATGGGCAACAGCTGCGGGCTGACCACGCTGCTCACGCTGACCGGGGTGACGGCTCTGGACGAGGTGCGGGGCCACCAGGACAGCGGCTGTCCCGCCAGGCACAGCCTGGTCCCCGATTTCTACGTGGACAGCATCGCCGACCTGCTGCCGGCCCTGGGGCAGTGAGGGGCCCGGGGCAGCCCTGCAGCAGCCCCTGGCAGTAACCCGCGCACTCACTAGGTACTCCCCGGGGTTAGAACCCTTCGCTTGTCTCCTCTCTGTCCTCTCGGTGTGATTCTGTTTACATCTCCGTCTGAAATGCACTTTGAACAAAGGGGGCGTTACAGGGGCTGGGCTTGGGGCTGGGTTTGGTCGGTCCAGTGCTGGATCCGTGGCACAGCCCCTCTGGGCTGGGCTGGAGCTGGGTGATCTGAGGGGAAGGATCATGTCCTGGCCAGGCTGGGCCATGGCTCGGCCCGGGCTGTTCAGGGAAACGACTCTTGGCATGTGCAGTAACTCTGGTTGTGCTTGGAAGCACTTGTGGAGCTGGCGTTTGCCCTTGGGGTGACGCTTTTTCCCAGTTAGGGCCCTGTTGAGGGGCACAGCCCCACGTCAGGTCACACAAATTCATCTCTTTCATTTCACTGCACATTGCACCTGCGATGCAGATTGGGATGATCCCACACAATTCCAGACCTTGTCTGCTGCACAGTGTCTGTCCAAGGTCGAGAGTGTGTAAAGCACTTGTACACACTGCCACTCCCTGAGCATAAAGTTAGAATATATTTAAATTATAAATAGAGTCTATGATAATATATCTTGTTTCCCAGGAGGGAGGATGAGAGGAATGTACTTAGCACTGATTTAATTCTCCTAAGCGGTTGCATTTGGTAATGCAGAGAGTCTGCAGCCGCACAGGACTGTCCCTCATTCCTGCTGCTTCCCAGAAATCCCAGGATCAATGTGTACCGAGCTCCTGCACTTCCCTCAGCATCACTGAGCCTCTTGCCTTGGCTTTAGTGCACAATCCCAGTTCCTGCTCAGTCCGTGGATGGATGTAGTGCCCAGGACAGCTGTCCCCAGGGAGCCCTGTGGCTCTGGCTGTGTGTGACAGCAGCTCGTGCTTCCTTCCCATCCCTGAGGTTCAGATCTTCCGTGTGTGCCAGCTGGGGCCGGGCACGCTGGGTGGTGAGGAGTGCTGGCTTGCTCAGGGATGATTCTCTTTGATCTCCAGGTGGGATTGGGCAATGAGGGGCTCACCACAGGGTGGTTTTTGTGCTGCCTGAATCCCACAGTGAAAGCTTTTGCGTTATAGAAATAATTGAAAATTATATATGCAAATAACTCGCTTTTATTGCATAGATTCCAGTACCTACAGTTCAATTTAAGCACTGGTTTTCCTTCCTGTCCAGCTGAGGAGCTCGGGCAGTGCTGATTTCCTGCCTGGTAACTTGTCCCCTCCTTTGCACAGCAATAACCCTGCAGTGCAGAGGCTCTCAGTGTTCCCAGAGCACTGGCTGTACCTCTGCAAGGCTGTTGTTTGTAATGTGCAGTTGTGGAAGGAAGTGTGGATAATCTCTCCTGCAAAGTCCCGGAGGCAGAGCTTACCCCTGGTCTGGGTAACGTGGAGATGGACATTGTGGACTCACTGCAGGTCGTGTCTGATGTAACAGTGTGGGTTTGGATTCAGTCTCTGTTTCTGGTGCGTTTTGTGTCAGGAGAAGGCCAGGAGAGAGTCCAGCATGCCTCAGGCAGCTCGGTCCCTGCTGAGGGCTCTCGCTGGCCAGGGAGCCATTGCCTGGGCTCAGGGGTGCTGGAATGTGCTGCTGGCGCTGTCATCGTGCTTCAGATCTCTGTTCTGGCTTCCAAACTGTTCCTAATCCTCTACTTGAATTCCCATTAAACTCTCAAACCTGCTCTCCCCAGCGTTGTCTCACCGTGTGTTCTGGTCTGCTGAGCATTGGGAATCCTGGGGGTCAGGGATGGTTTGGGGTGGAAGGGACCCCAAAGCCCACCCAGTGCCACCCCTGCCATGGCAGGGACACCTCCCGCTGTCCCAGGTGCTCCCAGCCCTGCCCAGCCTGGCCTTGGGCACTGCCAGGGATCCAGGGGCAGCCACAGCTGCTCTGGGCACCTGTGCCAGGGCCTGCCCACCCTCACAGGGAAGAATTTCTTTCCAACACCTCATCTCACCCTCTGCCATTCCCCTTTGCCCTGCCCATGCCCTTGGCCAAAGTCCCTCTCCTTCTTTCTTACGGGCTCCCTTCACCCAGTTTGTTCAGCCCTGAGTTGTGCATGACAGCAAAATTTCCAAAACCTGCATTTTCCCTGGGTAGGCATCACATGAAGGAATTCTTGGCTTTTCCTTGCCTCCACACCTTGGTTGTGTCTGGCTGCCGGGTCTGGAACGTTCTGGGGGCTCAGGATCAGGACACGGGTGACAGTGTGAGAGCGGCGCAGGCTGTGGCAGTGGCTTGGTGGCACAGCCCCTTTCCCTTTCCCTGCGGGGTGGCACAGGTGTGTCCGTGTGTCTGCAGCCCTGCAGGGACGGCAGGATCAGCGCCTGGCTCCAGCCCAGGAGCTCCCGTTGACATGTGGCGATTGCCGCTGCCGCACGGGCACGCTGCCACCGTCCTCTGGCCATTTGATCTCCCCAGGACCCCCACCTGGGCCGTGCAGGGCCGTGCCAGCCCCGGGGCACACAAGGGCCCCCATTGTGGCTCCCACCCGCCCCGGGGCTGCGCAGGAAGAGCCGCGCCCGGCACTGACAGCAGCGCTCAGCTCCCGCTCCCCGCTCAGGTTTCGGCTCCCGCAGAGCCCCTGGGCTGCCAGGGACAGGTGTTCGTGGGCACAGGTATTTATGGCCCCCGGGCACACGGCCGGGTTCCCCAGGTGTGCCTGGAGCCGGGACCATGCCCAGCCCGAGCGCGGGCAGCAGGCAGAGGAGCGGCAGCCGGGTCCTTGTCTGAAGGGAGGATGGAAGGAGGGGACGGTGCCGGCCCTGCTGCCCCTGCAGTGAGTATTGCTGGGTATTCCTGAGCATTCCCTGTCCTGCAGTGAGTATTCCCTGTCCTGGAGTGCGTATTCCTGAGCATTCCCTGTCCTGCAGTGAGTATTGCTGAGTATTCCTGAGCATTCCCTGTCCTGCAGCGAGTATTCCTGAGCTTTCCCTGTTCCATCAGTGAGCATTCCCTGTCCTGCAGTGAGAATTCCTGAGCATTCCCTGTCCTGCACTGAGTATTCCCTGTCTGGAGTGTGTATTCCTGAGTATTCCTTGTCCCTGCAGTAAATATTCCTGAGCATTCCCTGTTCCATCAGTGAGCATTCCCCATTCCTGCAGTGAGTATTCCCTGTCCTACAGTGAGTATTCCTGAGCATTCCCTGCCCTGCAGTGAGTATTGCTGAGTATTCCTGGGCATTCCCTGTCCTGCAGTGAGTATTCCTGAGCATTCCCTGCCCCTGCAGTGAGTATTGCTGAGTATTCCTGAGTATTCCCTGTCCTGCAGTGAGTATTCCTGAGCATCCCCTGCCCTGCAGTGAGTATTCCTGAGTATTCCTGGGCATTCCCTGCCCTGCAGTGAGTATTCCTGAGTATTCCTGAGCATCCCCTGCCCCTGCAGTGAGTATTCCTGAGTATTCCTGAGCATCCCCTGCCCCTGCAGTGAGTATTCTTGAGTATTCCTGGGCATCCCCTGCCCCTGCAGTGCTCTGTGCTTGCCTGGTCCCGTCCAAGGGGCAGAGCTCCTGCCATTCCCACGGATCCTGGAGGGTTCTGTGTATCCCCAGCCCAGCTCCTGCCAGGAGCTGCTGTCACCCGGGCTGAGGCGCCTTGGGGGTGCCCGGGTTTACCCGCTCAGGTTCCAGGGCACAGGAGCCACGGCCAGGCTGCTCGGGATGGGGGTGAGCTGTGCCCTCACAGCTGGGAGCTGCTGGAGCTCTTTATCTGCACCTTTCCCACCGGAGGGAATTCCACATTGCATTGGTTGTGGAAAACCTGCCAGGCACTGCAGGGCTGGGGCTCTGCTCTGCTGGAATTGACAGCATTTCACATAGGTGCAGTTTTACCTCACTGCTTTTCTCAGGGAATGACCTGGGAGTTCCCTGTTTCCAGTAAAGATCCATCACTGTCCCCAGGCTGGGTGAGCCCATCCTCGTGCAGCTGGAGCACATGCAATCCTGGGCATGGATTGAATTTCTCTGTCCTTCAGAGGATTGGGAAACAGGTTATTTTTTAAATGTGGTCTGTGTTTGAGATTATTGAAAGCACGTTTTCTGCTTTGTAAAAATCCCGTTATGTGCCATGAAGTTAAATTTAATTGCTTCAATGTAAGAATTAAAGTAAATTAATAGAGCCAATAGAAATGTCACAGCGCTGCCAAGCTCTTTTCCTCGGTCTCATGGAGAATAATTTAGCAAGAAAATCCAGCAGAGCCCAGCACAGGGAGGGGACAGAAGCAGGATCACTCCACACAGGGTCTGATTCCAATGCTGACTGTCCCGCTGGGGATTTCTGCTGTAAACCACAATAATTTAATTTGTTGTTCCCTGTGTCTGGAAAGCTGCTGCTCCAGCCCTGCCCTGGGGCTTTGCAGCTTTGCTGGCTGTGCCAGTGCTGGGTACCAGGACGCTGGATCTGAATTCCAGCACTGTGGGGTTACTCCAGGTGCTGCAATGGTTTGGCAGCTCTGCACTGCAACCAGAGTGCACAAGGCTTTGTGTCATGAGCTGGAAACTTGTTTGGTGAAAGAGAATTGGCAGAAGGGTCAATTTTAACTCCTGTTCCTCCTTCTTTTGCCTGGCTCCCAGGACAGGAGGGCCCCAGCACACCTCCCAGCTCCCTCCAGGACCTTCTGGATCATCTTGTCCGTTGCCTTGTTGTTTTTTGCAGTCGTTGGTGTCAGTGTCGTGGGGGTTCTCAGCTTCTCCCCCAGCTCTGCCCAGGTAAGGGATGCTGATCTGGGCAGGCAGCCTGGGCTGTGTGGGAAGCAGTTCCAGGCGGGATGGGTGGGCTGAGTCCGGCTGGATCAGTCCCTGGACAGAGCAGGAGGGTGCAGGAGGGGCAGGGAGTCCTGGCCCTTCCCTCCAGCCCCTGCTGCCCTTGGCACGAGGGGCACTGGGCGTGAGGATGGAGTGCTGGATCACCCTTCCCCTGGGTCAGAGCCTGCTCCTCCCCGCTGCTGAGCCAGCCAGAGCAGGGGGAGCACGGGGCCAGCCGGGGATGTAGGTGGGAGGGAGATGCTGCACACAGGCACAGAGCAGCTGCTGGTGGGTGCTGCCCTCCCTCTCCTCGTGCCCAGGCTGGCTCCCAGCTCCTCCGAGTGACCCTGCAGGGCCAGCAGGACCCGCTGAGGAACCAGACAGCCGTGGTGGACAAGGCCAGGAGCACTGTCACCTACTACATCACCTCCCGGAGCAACCTGAGCGCCGTGGTGCTGTACGACAGCAGGAACGTGAGTGCTGGGGCAGCGCTGCCTGCCTCTGCACCTTTAATCATCAGTTCAGAGCAGGGGAATGGGAATGGGCTCTTCAGGGCTCTCCTGGGCCAGGGTGGGCGTGTGCTGCCTGCTGCAGGGCCACATCTGTCCACATCTGTCCATCTGACAGGGCTACGTGTGCTACAAGCCGCTGGAGCAGCGAGCCTGCTACCTGAGGAGGATGGAGCCCTGGGACCTGCAGATGGCTCTCAGCACCTCTGAGCACAGCGTGAGCAGCTGCTGCAGCACTCCCGGGACAGCTGGGGGGGGATTGGGCTTTGCACTGGGTCACTGAGTGTTCCCCTTGTGGGGATTTGCCCCAAGGAGCCAGGGCAGGGCTCTCCCAGCCCCTCTTGCGGGGCATTCATTGCTCCCAGGAGCAGAGCTGTGCCCCAGGCTGGGCTCCCAGCCAGCTCTGAGCAGCAGCTCCCGGGTTTATCCGTGCCCTGACTCCTGTGGGAAGCAGCTGGGGCAGGGGATGTGTGTGTCCCATGGAGGTGAATGGCAGGGCTCCTGCAGGACCCGCTCCCACCGGATTCTGTTACCCGCTCAAAAATCTGGGGGAGGAAAAACAAAGGGGGTTTGTTACCAACTGCCAGGGAAGGACAAGGTTGGAGGCAGTCACGTACGAGGACCCTCAGAACAACGTGTCAGTGGATGCCTGGGCAGGGGCAGATTCCATTCCCAGGAGACAGAAAGCCCCATGGTTTTGTGCCCCTGCCATCTGCTATCCATTTCCATTTTCCTTACTCCCAGAGAAGTGTGGGAACACAGGCTCCCAAAAGGGATGCAGGGAGAGGAAAGCACCTGCCCAGCCCTGGGGCTCCTAAATGGAAATAAAACTTGGCATTGCTGGGGCTGCCAGCAGCCCACAGACAGGCAATGAGAGCTGGAGTGGGCAGCTGGCAGGAGACACCTGCTGGGGCACAGAGCGCTCCTGGGTGCCCTGGGAGCTGAGCAGGGCTCTGGGGACACACACAGTGCCTGCCTTGGAGGAACCAACACGCACATTTCTTTCAGGCCGAGCAGCTGCTCCAGCCCAACAACCAGACCAAGTTCTACAGGGAGTTCCTGGGCATTGTGGCCGGGCAGCAGCTGGAGCCCAGGGCGCTGGGGGAGGCTGTGCAGAGCCTGTGTGAGCGCTCCTCCATCCTCTGGGTGCGCAGAGCCCACGGTAAGTGGGGCACTCCCCTGGCAGGGCGGGCTGCAGCTTTGCCAGCACCTCTAAGAGGATCAGGCTGTGCTGCACAGCAGCTGATGCACCCCAGGACAGGCTGCCAAGGGCCAGGACAGGGACGGGTGACCTCTAGTGCAAAATCAGACCATTGTCACCAGCCCTGAGTGCTGGCTCATACCCACCCTTGTCCTGAGCCGTGGCACTGGGATGGGCTCTGAGCTGCGCCAGCACACAGAGCTGTCCCTGAGACATCACTGCTTAATCCCTGCCACCTTCATCCCTGCCACCTTCATCCTCGGCCAAAGCAGCCTGCTGAGCTGTCAGCCTGCTCCATCTGACTCCAGCTTGAGTAAGAAAGGTCATTCCCTGAGGCTTTCCCCTTGCTCAGCTCCCCAGAGACTCTGCAGGAGTCCAAAGCATCAGGGGAACTCAGCAGGACCAAACTGGGGTCTGTGCAGCTGCAGGACCAAAGCACCCCTGGGGGCCACAGCCCTGCTCTCACTGCTGTCCTCGCTCCTTGGCAGGGCCAGGGAGGCAGCGCCTCATCTACCTGTGCATTGACATCTGCTTCCCCAGCAACATCTGTGTCTCCATCTGCTTCTACTACCTGCCCGAGTGAGCGCTGCAGCCACAGCCCCTCTGTGCCCTCAACTTGGACTGGATTCCTCAACAGCCTCCACGAGGAAGGGAACACCCACAGCATCCCCAGAGCTTCCTGCTGATTCTGTGCTGCAGGTCAGGAGTTTAGAGAAGCAGCATCAGGAGAGTTTAGAGAAGCAGCATCAGGAGAGTTTAGAGAAACAGCACCAGGAGAGTTTAGAGAAGCAGGAGGCCTCTGCTCAGCACTGTCAGCACAGACACTGCAGCTCTGCTCCTGTGCCTCATCCATAGGAATTAGGAGGCCCAGAGGAATCCCAGGAAGCAGCTGGAGTTCTGGGGCTCCAGGCTCTGCTCAGCACAAGGTGGTTGCTGTTACATCTGGGGGTGGTTGGCTTTAGGAGAGCAGCTCTCCAAGGCACTCTGTGAAACACTTTGAATAAAGGGATTGCAAACCAAGACAAGAGCGGCTTCTCCTCTTTGCTCAGCCTCTCCCACCACTGGCAAAGGCTGAGGTTTATTTTGTTCCCACTCTGGGGTACAGGAACACCCAGAGCTGTCAGCAGCCAGTGCCCCAGGGATTCCTGCAGCTGTGCCCGTGTCCCTGCAGTGGGACCGTGCCTCCCTCTCCCATTCCCTCCCTCAGGGCCACACACGTGTCAGCAATGTCCAGCCTGGAGCTGAAGCCTGGTCTCAGCCCAGGCAGCTGCAGCTGCCCCTGTCAGAGCCCCAGCCCTCTCCACACAGGAGGGGATGGGTACAGAGTGTGTCCCAGGCTCTGGAGAGGGTCTGGCAAGGCAGGGGCAAACAAGCAGAGGTGCTGTCCTTGCCACACGTTATCCCAGGACGCTGTCATTGAAGGCCAGGCAGACCACGGCTTTCTGGTGGCCACTGTACTCCCTCTTGATCTCCCCTGTCTCCACACACCACAGTCTGGCCAGGTTATCCGAGGAGGCTGGAACACAGAGTGAAAAGAAAAGTGGGATGTATATATATAAATATATATATATATATATATATATGTAAAACCTTTTAAGTTTCTCTTTTACTATTATTCTAAGAAATACTTTGCCCTTGCTTCATTCAGCAATCCTTAGGGCTGGTGATGACCAGCAAGGCAGAGCAGCTCAGTGCACTTCTCTGCATGTGGGGTTTAGTTCTTTTGGAGAGCACTGAGTGTGGAGATTACCAGAGGTGTGTTCAAGGAACTAACAGGCTGTGAGATGAACAGCACGCTGGAGATCTCCTCTCCAGTTCCAAGAGCTGCCCCAGAGCAGCAGCACGGAATGCTCCAGCCAGCAGTGGCTGCTCCCCCTCACAGCCCCTGTGCCCCAGGCTCTGCCATGTCCCAGCCAGGGTCACTGCTCAGGCCTGGCCCAGCCCAGGTGCAGCCTGACCTGTGACAATGTACTGGGAGTCCCCGGAGAAGGCGCAGTCCCACATCCAGCCCCGCGACGTCTCCCCGGGGTTGTTGCTCTTAATGCTCAGCTCTGTCATCAGAGAGAAGTTTGAAGTCCTCCAGATCTTGCACGTCTGATCTGCAGAACAGGTGGCCAAGAGCCTGCAAGGAGGAGACATCTGAGGGCAATCTCATCAGTCACTGTCCCCCTGTGGGCCTCTGGTTACACAGACCTGGGCCAGGGCCAGTGACAGCCTGGAGACCTGTCCCCAGTGCAATCAGATCTCCTCACACCTGCACTGTCAGACTGAGCAGATTCCAGCTGAACAGACTCCGTGAAGGAGCTCACACTGCAGCAGCTGGAGAACAGCCCACGGCTGCAAACCTTGCTGAGCTCAGGGAGTGGGACACCCCTGACCGCAATGCTGCGGCGCCACATGCCCTGCCTTGTGTCCCACTCCTCCCTGGGGAGCTGCAGTGCGCAGCCAGCAGCAGCCACGGCTGGGGGCACGGCTGGGGGCACGGCTGGGGGCACGGCTGGGGGCACGGCTGGCCCCCGCCTGCCCTGGGAGGGCGCTGAGGGCTCCACACTCACGTGGAGTCGGGGCTGAACTTGCACTGCAGGGCGTAGCGGTTGTGAGCCGGGATCTTGGTCTTGGGGATGAGCTGCGTCACCTCCTCGCCGATGCCGCCCGTCAGGTTCCACACGTAGCAGTGTCCCTGCAGCAGAGGCACAGAGGGATCTGTGCCCAGGCTGTGCCCGGGCTGGGGGATGCCCACCCAAGCCCAGCTGCCGCCCCAGCAGGGCTCACCGAGCTGTTGACGGCCGCCATGTAACTGGCGTCGGGGTCGATGTGCACCGAGTTCACCGACACCTCGGGCTCGGGGATCAGCTGCTCGTTGTGGTCAGTCTTCAGGTCCCAGATGTGGATGGCCCCGCTCTGGTCGCCCACGATCAGCTCTGCCTGCAGGGCACACGGCTCTGTGGGCACCGTGAGCTGCAGCCTGCAGCTGGCACCAACAGTGTGCCCCTGCAGCTGGCACCAACACTGTGCCCCTGCAGCTGGCACCAACAGTGTGCCCCTGCAGCTGGCACCAATACTGTGCCCCTGCAGCTGGCACCAACAGTGTGCCCCTGCAGCTGGCACCAATACTGTGTCCCTGCAGCTGGCACCAACACTATGCCCCTGCAGCTGGCACCCACACTGTGCCCCTGCAGCTGGCACCAACAGTGTGCCCCTGCAGCTGGCACCAACACTGTGTCCTTGCAGCTGGCACCCACGCTGTGCCCCTGCAGCCCCACTGCAGCCCTGCTCTGGGGTTAAGCAGCACCATCCTGTCCTGCCTCCTCTCCCCCGTCTCAGGGCTGTCCCACAGCCTGTCCCAGCCGGGTACTGACTCCATGACACCCTGCAAAAGGCACTTTCCCTCCCCAGAAGGGTTTGCTGATTTCCCAAACCCCAGAGCAAGCAGAGCTGTCCCAGTTCCAGGGCTGTGGCACAGCCATGGCTCCAAACAACAGCCACAGCAGCCAAGTGGTTTTCAGCACGTCTGAGAGGCAGCATTAAGGGCAGGTTGGCCGCTGAACAACCGAAGCACTCAAGGGTGCAGATAGCAGAAAACACAACCTGAAGTGGGTTTTTCTCTGTCTCTTCCCTTCTCAGGGGAAGGACAAGAGCCAAGGGCAGGAGTCCTGGCTCTGATCCCGTGCTCAGAGCAGAAGACAATGCTGGCATGTCTCCACTCCAACCAGGCCCTTATCGACAGCCCTGCGCTGTCCATAATTTTAGCAGGATCCCTAGAGGAGATCAGGTCATCAGGCACAGCTAATCCTGTCCCTGGGAGCACAGGCTGCTTCTGAGGAGACAAACACCATCAATGCATTTATCTGGCTGCACAAAAGGCTCTTCTGGGCTCCTCAGCCCCTCTCAGCAGGTGTAAATGCTGAGTCCAAAGTTTTCATGGCTTTGCCCAAGCCGTGAGGAATCCCTGAATAATTGGATCAGCATCTCTGCAGAGGAAACTGCAGAGCCACTGAGCTGCCCAAACAAATGCTGCCACCTTTGGTCTAATTAACCACCTTCTGCTCACAAACCAGCACTCTGAACCTCAGCAGCACCGTGGTCGGGGATTATTTCACATCTAAGGCCTATGTTCAGTAATATTCATTTAACACAACACACTCTCACAGCACTGACAGTACAGGACAGTGGATATTCTACATGATTTGGCTAGTCTGGGCCAAATAACTGATCTCAAATTTAGCCTGAAATTCCTGATTTGCAAAATGAACTGCAAGGGAACATTTCCATTGCTCAGGACTTTACAGAGGCTTGCACGGCCCTGTCTGCAGGCAAAACCACAGCCCTGCAAGCCCAGCCCAGCCATTAGCACTGATTGATCCCTATTGATTTCCCTGCTCCTGCTCCCTTCAGCCTCTTCAAGTGTCCCCACTCTCCCTATGCTCAGCAGCAGCTGCTGAACCCACTGGGGAACTTGAGCAAACCCCACCCAAAGGGAATCACAGCAAAAGGCCCCAGGATGCTCTTCCTTGGCACTGTTGTCACCCTCAGGCTCCCCAGCTGCCCCCACTCTGCCAGCTTTGCTCCCATGCCATCCCCAGGGATGCTGGGGGGCAGAGCCCACTCCAAGGGCATGTTTGCTGCCATGGGATGAGCTCAGTGCAGCCCCTGTGCTGTCCCTTTGCAACAGCCACCAGGTCATCAGCACAAACACACCGTGTAAAGCCCCCAGGCCATCTCTGTGGTACCCCAGCTTCTGCTGGGGTACCCCATCTCCGCAGCCCCTCAGAGAGGAGCCACAGGAACAGGGTGCCCAGGGTGCCCCTGGATCCCTGGCAGTGTCCCAGGCCAGGTTGGACAGGGTGTGGAGCACCCTGGGGCAGTGGAACGTGTCCCTGCCATGGCAGGGGTGGCACTGGATGGGCATTAAGCTGCTCCTTAGGATTCTGAGCTGGGAACCCCAGAGGAGGCAGCTTCCTCACCTGGTTGGGGTGCAGGCAGACACAGTTGATGGGAGCATTCACCTGGAAAATGCGCTGGCACTGCAGGTTCCGGGACCTGTGACAGAGAGGGAGGGGTGCTCAGGGGGTATGGCACCTGTGACAGAGAGGGAGGGGTTGTGGCACCTGTGACAGTGAGGGAGGGGTGCTCAGGGGGTATGGCACCTGTGACAGTGAGGGAGGGGTGCTCAGGGCTTGTGACACCTGTGACAGAGAGGGAGGGGTGCTCAGGGCTTGTGACACCTGTGACAGTGAGGGAGGGGTGCTCAGGGGGTATGGCACCTGTGACAGAGAGGGAGGGCTTGTGGCACCTGTGACAGTGAGGGAGGGGTGCTCAGGGGGTATGGCACCTGTGACAGTGAGGGAGGGGTGCTCAGGGCTTGTGACACCTGTGACAGAGAGGGAGGGGTGCTCAGGGGGTATGGCACCTGTGACAGTGAGGGAGGGGTTGTGGCACCTGTGACAGTGAGGGAGGGGTGCTCAGGGGGTATGGCACCTGTGACAGTGAGGGAGGGGTGCTCAGGGCTTGTGGCACCTGTGACAGTGAGGGAGGGATGCTCAGGGCTGTGAGCTCGGCCCTGCAGGCCGGGGCAGCCCCGGT